GGGCTGGGGAGGGACCATCTAGGGCAGGCAGATAGTTGGACCTGGAGCAGCTGTCTTGTCCTGACTCTATTTCGTCCCCAACGCGATGGGGATAATTGTGTTAATTGGCTTGGAGTGGTGGCTCCATGTAATTATCTTCGCCTCAGAGCCACCCCTACCCAGAGCTCTTGCCTCTCCTGAGGCCACTCCTCTCCCCTGCTTGCTGGTCTCGCTCTGACCTCCCCCCTTGCCAGGGTGCAGCCCCGGGGGCAGGGGGCGGGCTAGGCTGCTGGCCCCCAGCTGCGGGATGCAGGGATGCAGGGACTCAGGGCAGCCTGGGCTAGCCCCAAGTCCTTGAGGGGCCTTCCCCGGGCACAAGGAGTCCAGGCAGAGATAAGGGGTGATGCTGGCCCCCGAAAGGGAGACAGCAGGTTCCTGCCAAGCTGCCAGCCTGCAGCCTCTTCCCAGGGAGAGGGGAGGGACTCTGAGTGAGAACAATAATAAATACAGAGTGTGAACTGCTGCATCCGCTGGGGCTGGGGGAGGGGAGGAGGAAGTGCGCCTGGGTGGAGGGTGGGCAACCTCTCTGAGGGTCTGGCACCATGCCCACCTGGAAGTGCTCCAGAAGAGGCCTCTCGATGGGGAGGGGCAGTCTCCGGCCCCCTGGAGGATGGGGAGCCAGTTTTTGTCCCCAAAACTGACTCCATTCCAGAGGCCTCTGGGCCCTCCAAATTCTGGATATTTCCTTCACCCAGACTCCCTCCGCCTACCCTCACCATTTCCTTGAAGTCCTTTCTAACATCTATTTCCCATATCTGTCCCTCCCCCTGGGTCTGTCTGCCCTCCACTCCAAGAAAAAGGTCTAAGCAGGAACTGGCCGCACAGGGGCCTGGGAAAGGCCGAGGGACAGTATGGGCCACGGAGTCCCCTCTCAGGCCTGGCAATGTTCACAGATGCCCGCTGGCCATGGAGGGGGTCTCGAGGGAGGAATAGGGGGTCCTACACAGCTAGCCTGTGGGGAGGGGACACTCACAGGCTGGTTGTTCTGGAAGCAGGTCCCCAAGATTGGCACCAGCAGAGGGCGCTCCGGGCTTGGCTGAGCTGCTCACGTCTACTGGTCACAACCAGCACAACCAGGTCCGGGGGCTTGGGGCAGTTGGGACCTGTGTCCACGCAGAGCAGCAAGGTAGGGAGCAGAAAGTAGTGGGGGGCTTCTCCCCTGCTCCAAAGCCGGTGGAATGATGGTCACTGGGGTGGCGGCTGGCACGCTGGAAAGCTCTGGGCTTTGGGGTCACACTGATTTGAGTTCAGCTACTCTAAGTGTGACTTTGACCAACCCTTTCCTCTCTCTGGGGGGACTCAGAGTGGGAAGTGACTTGCTCAGGGTCACACAGCCTGGCAGAGATGGGATGTGAGCCTAGCCCTTGAGGAACCCATCCTGGCACCTTCACCCTCACTGATGCCAAGGAAGCCCAAAGGCCTTGTCACATGCCCCAGGGCAGTGGGAGCATGGGACAAGGAGAGTGAAAAGGTCTCCATGAAGCTCAAATATTGGCTGGGGCAGCCCCTCACCCCCATGCACACGCGTGTGCACACACACGCGCACGCTGCCGGAGGGGGAAGAACCAGGTTTAATTAGGTCACCTCCAGCTGCTGGAGCAGCTCTTGCACTGATGTATTTTAAGGACTGTCTGGGTGGCTGGGGGAGGGGAGGGACTGGGGAAGTGCCAGCTTCTGGCTGGTGGTCCTGAGGCTGTTTCCTCAGGCTCCCAAGGCCACCCACCGTAGATAAGACCCCAATGTTCAGAAAGCCCTCCCAGCACCATCCTGCGCCCCATGGCCTTCCGCTTTTTAAGTCACCATATCCTCTCCTCCCCCGGCTGTGCCTCCACACTGGGGGTTCGGGGCTGGGACATTTTTATTGGGGGAGTTGTTTTTAGGCTTGCCAGAGTTGGCAAGTGATTCACCCAAGGTCATAGTCTGAGTCAGCACAAAGCCAGAAATAGAACCCCAAGCCCTGACTCCCCAGTTCTTCCACGCCCCTGTTCTTCCTTCTCCAGGGGAGGGCAGGAGATGTCAGGGAGCTTTCCTCCCGCCTCCCAGAGGCCTTTCTGTAACCTACCGCCCCCCCAACATCTCAGGTGCAGAAAGCACCGCTCCTGACCAGCTGTGTGAACCCAGGAAGCCTCTTTCCCTCTCTGGGCCTCAGTTTACTCTTCTGAAGAATGGGGATAATAACGATCATTGTCACGTAGGGGTGTTGTGGGGACCGCCTAAGGAAATGGGGCCAGGGACTTGGCAGAACACTGGCACATGGCTAACAATCAATACACAATAGCTGTGTCTCTTGTCACTCTATGCTGTGCTGTGCTCTGGTCAGTCTGGTCCTCCCACTGGAGGGTGGGGCTGTCTCCTCTCGGGCCTGTTGTCCCAATGCCTGGCATTCAGCTTCCTTTCAGTTATGTGTGTGCTTTTGACAACCTCAGAGGACAGTCGGACTGACCTTCAGTAGGCGTCTGGACCAGTGATGGTTCGAGGAGTGAGGCCCAGAGAGGGTTGAGGGCTTGCCCCAGATCACACAGCACTGGGGGCGTTGAGCCAGCTTGCTTTCCCTACTCTGCCCCGAACAAGATGGATTCGCATGGTCAAGAGAGGACTCTGACAGCCATTTCCTGCCCCATTCTTTTTGGGGTACCTGAGAATTGGAGGAGGCCCAGCACCAGGATGATGGTCACCTGCTGACAGGGCTGAGTCACGCTGTATCACGGCCTCACCTCAGGTTACCTCTGAACAGTCCTGATGTTCTGGTTTTACCTCCCCTGGTCCTTCAGTCCACAGAATTGCCAGGGTTTGGCCCTCACGCAGGGAAATGAAGACAAACTTGGCCGGGAGGGTCAGAGCCAGACCGCGTGGGCAGGGAGATGCGCCCTCACAGGTGGACCGTCCATACAGCGGCTCCTCAGCCCCTCCCACACGCGGGACAGGTGCTAACTATTAGCCCTATCTGACACATAAGGAAACTGAGGCTCAGAAAGGGAGGGTCACTGTCGAGTCAGGGTTCCAGCCCAAGCCAGAAATGGTCCCGGCCTGTCCTTGAACCCCCGGCGGCCAGTTCTGAAGGGCATCGTTCTGGGCAACAGGTGCTCCCCGACAGTCGGACCGAGTCCCTTGGGGGCTGGGCTTTACTCTGATTCGAAACAAACGTCCTACACACTCATCTGTTTCTCTGCTTTTGGAGGAGTTTATTTTCCCCTTTAGTCTCTCAGGGAAAGTTCTTTTGGTAAAAACTCCAGCCGTGTTTTGGCTGAACCAGGAGCAGAATTTATCCTCACGAGAAGAGCACCCACCATTTGCCTTCAGATGGATCTGGGCTCTTGTCACTCACCTGCTGTGTGACCTTGGGTGAGTCACTTCACCTCCCTGAGCCTCAGTTTCCTTATCTGTAAAATAGAAACCAGGGGAATTCCAAACTTTCAGGGCAACTGGGAGATTTCAAAATGGAGAGTAGCCTCTGTAAAGACTTTTGCGCCGGGTACAGCATTCAGACAATAAAAGCCCATCTTTACTTGTCCCTTTCTGCAGCAACACTCTGGGAAGAAGGCCTGAACCAGAGGCTTGCCCTGCATCCCCTTGTTCTCTTCTCCCAGGGTTCTGGCAGGGCCCACAGAGGGGAAGACTGTCCAGGTTCGCACAGCAAGTCAGTGGCAATGCAGGGCCTGAACCCAGGGCTCCAGAGTCAGATTATCTTGGTTCTTGAGTCCTGGATCAGACATTAATTGCTGTGTGGCCTTGAGTGAATGACTTAGTCTCTCTGAGCCTCAGTGTCCTCATCTGCAAAATGTAGGCATAACAGCAGCTACTGAAGGGGGGGCTGCAGGAATTAAAAAGGGAGGGGGCTGGGCAGGGACCTAGTGGGTGGGCAAGTCCTTGGGGAAAGAGGAAAGAGGAGACTGGGGGTGGGCTTGGCTCGGGCCAGCTGGGGCTCTCCTTCCGCCCACTTCGTCTTCCCCCTCAGCCCAATTTAGCAGCCTGGTCCTGGAGGGCCGACCTCTCACCCAGCACCTGCTGTTCTTCCAGCATTCCGTCCCATTTCATCCTCCCAGGAGCTCTGGGGGATGCGCTCTTGCACTCCCCATTTTCCAGAAGAGGAGGGAGGTGGGGGAGATCCCAGAGCAGCGCTCTCTGCCCTGCGGAGGCTGCCTTGTCTGCGCCCCCAGCCCTAACTCCTGCTCTAAGGCTAACTGTGGGCTTCTCGAAGGAAGCTGGCGGGGTGGGTGGGGGTGAAGGAGCCCAGAGCAGCCAGTCCTGCGGGGCTGGAGGGCATGAAGGCCTATCACTGCCCTTATTCCATCCTCCTCCCTTCTGCTGCCTGGTCCGTTATGGGGAACTTATTTTGGGGAGGGGAAGGAAGGAGGCTGCTGCCCTCAACTCTAACCCTGGGTAATCAATCAATGCATCTGTCCGCCTTCCCCGCAAGAGGCCTTGGGTCGGGAGGCCGGGAGGCGAGGAGGCCAGGAGGCCAGAGCAGGGCCCGGCACAGCTGCGTCTCCCTGGTAACGGCTGTGGGCTGCCTCTGCCCCTCCTCCCCACGACCGCCCAGCACTGGCTGTCACCGCCAAGCACAATACCAGCTCTGGGAAAACTGTGCAGTGGGCAGGCCGGGACCGAAGGAAGCAGAGCCTCTGTCCACCTGCCACCCCTGCCCAGGTGGGGTGGGGACGCCCGGACACGCGCCGAGGGGCCTGACGTCTCTTGCTTTCCTGGCCCTGACATCTTGGGTAGCTTTGCTGCCTGTTTTCCTTTTTTTTTTTTTTTTAAAGATTTTATTTATTTATTTGAGAGAGAGAGAATGAGAGACAGAGAGCACGAGAGGGAGGAGGGTCAGAGGGAGAAGCAGACTCCCCGCCGAGCAGGGAGCCCGATGCGGGACTCGATCCCGGGACTCCAGGATCATGACCTGAGCCGAAGGCAGTCGCTCAACCAACTGAGCCACCCAGGCGCCCCTGTTTTCCTTTTTGGTAACAGCTTTATGGCAATATAGCTCACACACCATATGATTCAACTGTTTAAGGTGGACGAGTCGGGGGTTTTCAGAATACCCACAGAATTGTACGACAAGGCCACGGTCAACTTCAGGACCTTTTCATCACCCCGGAAAGAAACTCTGCACCCATTAGAATTTACTCCCCATCATCCCTTCCCCCCCAACTCCTGGCAGCCACGGATGTCCTTTTCGTCTCTGTGGACTTGTCCATTCTGGACATTTCACGGGAATAGCAACACGCAGTGTGCTCTTTTGTGACTGGCTGGCTTCTTCCACTCGGCGTAATGGTCTCCAGGCTCATCTGTGCCGTGGCGGTGTCAGGGCTCAGGACTGCATTCCTCTTTATGGCTGAGTCATATTCCACTCTGTGGCTAGACTGCGGTTTGTTGGTCCACTCCTCTGTTGATGGATATCTGGGTTGTTTCCACTTTGGGCCTATTGTGAATTACGCTGCTGTGAATGTTCAAGTCCAAGTTCTTGTGTGATCGCGTTTTCCTCTCTCTAAAAATGGGAATAAAAAGGCCAAACCCGGCCTTGACTCCTGGAGCAGGCTCAGAAAGAAAAACCTCACGTCAGCTTGGGGGGGCTGTGAGGAGCTGTGAAGGGCCGTGAGAGGCCATTCTCACTCCCCGGCAGCTCTCCTGGATGGAGAGGGATGTTGAGGCACAGGAGGCTGGGGAGGAGGAAGGCTGCCTCTCCACCCCCAGGGATGGCAGAGCTGGCTCATCAGCCTGACCCAGAAAAATCCCACTTGCTGTGTGACCTTGAATGGCGGCCAGGAGACCTGCCCCACTGTTGGATGGTGTGACTCCGAGGCTCTCCCAGCCCTTGCCACACTGTGTTTCGGGGCAAGTCTGCCCTGAAAATTCTAGGCTGGGACTGGGGCACAAGATGGAGGCCAGAAATAGGGTTGAGGCTCAGGGATTTACCTCTGGCACTAGCGTCTTTGGATGAGGGGGTGAGGTGGTGAAACACGGGGGTGAGGAGGTGGAGAACCCTGTCATCCTCACTCCTACGTGACTGTGGATTATGAGAGCTTCTTTATCTCCCCAGGCTTAGCCAAGCCTCACCGTAGCCTGTGAGGGATCGAGGCAGGGTTTATCAGCTCCGTTATACAGATGAGGAGACCGAGGCCAATGGAACTACTCCCCAAGGTTGGCAGCTGGTACAGGGCGGAGCTGGAGTGCTCCTGGTCCAGGTGTCCTGCCTGGCCCTACTGTGGCCCCAGGCTCCGTCCACAACCTGGCTTAGTACTCTGAGCTGTCCTCCGCAGGGTTCCACGGCAGTGTCTCTTAGGGCCCGAGACTTCCCAACCCTTGTGGGGAGAGGACTATGTTCTCTTCCTCAGTAGAGGAAAATACAGGATGAATTTTTTCAAGGTCATCCAGGCACTGAGCAGGTGATGAGGGAATTTCTATCCATGAGCATAGATGATAGCAATTCATTGGGTATCTCTGAGTTACCAGAAGCTATCACACACTCCATCAGTGACTCCTCAGCAACCTGGCATGGTAAGTATCCCCAACCCCATTTCAGAGCAGAGGAAAATAGGGCTAAGGCAAACTCACCAACGTTCCCAAGGGCTTACCACGCCCTGGCACGGAGAGGGTCATTGAATCCTGACAGCAACCTCTCCGTGAAGTGAGAGCCAGCACTATCCCCATTTTACAGAGCAGGAAACTGAGTCAAAGGTTAAGAGCGTTGACCAAGGCTGCACAGCCAGTTAGGTGCAGGAGGCAGGATTGAAACCCAGGTCACCTGGGTCCAGAGGCTGCACTCCCACCCGCCATGTTGGAACTGTTGAAGTCCCCAAGGTACAGCGACAAAGCTGAGATTCGAACCCGGGTGTGTGGTTGTGAAGCTGCTCACACTTGTGCCAAACTGTGTTCCAGACTGTCACTGGCCACTTGCCCCATCCCACCTCCCCGGCCCCTGGAGTTAGAGAATTGAGCTTCAAGCTGGAAGGACTTTGAGGTTAGTTTTAGCTTGGTCTGGTTCTAGTGAGAGCCCTCTTCCTATTTGGTAGACAGCTCCCATTTCGCTGTATCCCCAGATGGCAGAGAGGAAGCAAGCTCTCTGGGTCTCTTCTTCCGAGGGCACTAATCCCACCATGGCCCCCCCCCACCTCACCTACACCTAATGACTTCCCAGAGGCCCCATCTCCAAATACCACCACCTTGGGGGGTTAAGACTTCCAGATATGAATTTTTGGGGGAACAGTTCAGTCCAGAGCAAGGATATAGGACTGTTTTGTCTTTCTGGGGAGGACCCCGAGTCAGGGTGGGGGGGCCGTGAGCGGCCTGAAGTCACTCTGTGAGGACTGGCGAGCAGGCCCAGCCCTCCAGACTTGGGCCTGGTGTCCAGAAGCCGCTCAACCTGGCCCACACTCAACTGTACCTCTTTCTTCGCATTCCAGACGGAGCCTGTGGCTGGCGCGGCTGCTGAGCAGGGCCAGGCCGGGCCCTGCCCGCAAGGACGCCCAAGCTCTTCGCCGGCCCCTGTGCCCGAGAGCCCACCAGGCTCTCTTGCTGGACCCGCCATGACTTCAGAGCCCACGTCGACCCCGGTAGTGCCCCCACTCCACTCCCCCAAGTCTCCTGTGTGGCCCACCTTCCCCTTCCACCGGGAGGGCAGCAGGGTCTGGGAGCGGGGCGGCGTCTCATCCCGGGACCTGCCCAGTCCTCTGCCCACCAAACGGACCAGGACGTATTCAGCGTGAGTACCTGCCCCTCGCCCAGGCTCCAGTGATTTTCCCCAGGACAGGGCTCCAGCCCTGTCCCTGTCCTTGTCTAACCCCTGTTGTCCTCACTCAAGGACAGAGGAGCTGTGTAGGGACCTTCCAGTAACTTCTGGGTTCATTCATTCATTCTTCACTCCACTAAGATTTATTGAGCACCTGACCAGGGGACCCAGTGATGAATAAGACAGTCTCCGCCCATAAACTGCCTACAATCCAGGAGGAATTTGTCCACCATTCACCTCCACCCAGGGTTGGGGGAGAGGACACAGCATCAGGCGTCAGGGAGGATGAGGTCCTAGTGGGTGTGGAAGATGTGGTAGATGAAGAAGGAAGTTGGGTGTTCCAGGTACATGGGTCAGCCTGGACCAAAACGGAAGCAAGGGACTGACCTCTGGTGAGGGGTGGGCAGGCTAGACAGAGACCAGGCTTGGGCCTCTGGTGTAGGTCACTGGCTGGGGTCACATGGGGGGGACGATTTGGAGAAATCACAAGGGAGACTGACTTGCCTTGGCCAAAGGAGAGATTTTTGTTTTGGTTTTAAGTAAGCCCTTTGCCCAACATGGGGCTTGAACTCACAACCCCAAGATCAAGAGTCGCACGCTCCACCGACTGAGCCAGCCCGGTGTCCCGAAAGGAGAGGTTTTGGATGGCAAGCACTAATTGTCCCCTGTGTCCAACCCAAGGCCAGGCACAGAGCAGATGCTTAATAAATGATGAATGAGTGGATAAGAGACACATAAGTGAATAGGATACTGTGACCTCGAGAGGTAGTGAGCTCCCCATTTTGAGAGAGATTCGAGTTTAGGCTGAGCATTCTTCCCTCAGGAATCTTACAACAGGAGCCCATGTAAACCTGAATCATCTCAGGAGGAAAGGGTCCTGTGCACAGAGAGGGGCACTGGCTGGGAGTTAGGAGGCCCACTTGCTGGGCACCCTCGGGGATCCAGTTCCCCTCTCTGGGCCTCAGTCTCCTTATTGTCCAGTGGGACCACAAGAGAGCATTACTGTGTGCAGTTTCAGCGCTTGGACAGGCTCTGCAGGCAGGCAGGGCCCAGGGGGGCTGTGGGAGTCCAGGGAGGGGAGGCCCCAGGTCACAGCTCTTATCCCCCTACTCTAACCTCAGGACAGCCCGTGCCTCGGCTGGCCCCGTGTTCAAGGGCGTCTGTAAGCAGTTCTCACGCTCACAGGGCCATGGCTTCATCACCCCTGAGAATGGATCCGAGGACATCTTTGTGCACGTGTCTGAGTGAGTCCCTCCCGCCTCCCTATTCCTGGCTGGGCCCCTGCTGCGGGGTCCCTGCAGGGCCTCAAGAAATGCCTCTCCAGGCCTCTCCCCTGGCTGGCTGAAGTCTGGGTCCCTGGCATCTTTCTCCTCCTGTCGCAGGGGCTGCGGGTGCGTGGGGGGGGGGCATGAGGAGGAGAGCCAGGTGGGGGGGCTGGAGCCAGGTGGGGAGGGGACACCCAGGCCGTGGAAGCCCCGGGAACCACTGGCTGAGCCCTGGGATCCTGAATCACGGGAACTGAGAGGACTGGGCCAGCCCCTGGGTCTTTTGGCCTGGAGGGTAGGCAGACATGGGAGAGATGATCTAGGCCTGGCCCCCAACCCTGATGCCAGGCAAGACCTGGGGGGGGTGGGCACTGAGCTTCTCTAGGCCTCCGGACCTCCCTTGCCTTTCATGGCTCAATCCCCAAACAGCACAGCCAGGGAGGGACCTTTTCGGGTTCCCATTTTACAGATTTGAGCTGAAGCTCTGAGAAGGGAGGGGAGGCAGCCCTCAGGCCAGCCCGCAGTGGGTGTCTGGGAGTGGGGCCTGCTGCTGGGCTGACGCCCCTCTCCCGCCCACCAGCATCGAGGGGGAGTACGTGCCCGTGGAAGGCGACGAGGTGACCTACAAGATGTGCCCCATCCCACCCAAGAACCAGAAGTTCCAGGCTGTGGAGGTGGTGCTCACCCAGTTGGCCCCACATACTCCCCATGAGACGTGGTCCGGCCAGGTCGTGGGCTCCTAGGCTGGGGGGCTCACGTGTCAGCTGCTGGGCGGGTGGGGAGCCACACAGGGTGGATGGGCAGTGGCGGGCTCTAGGCCCCGCTGCACTGGCTGGCCGGGGCCCCCGGGCGGCCTCAGCGTGCACGTCTGTCTGTCTGTGCTTGTGGCCGTGAGCACGTAACTCCATCCACCCCGCGTGACCCGTGACTGTTGTGTGAGCTGGACCAAAGGTGAGGCCCCCAGGCCTGCCTTCTGGTTGTCCGCTCTCTCCTTCCCCTCCCTGCCACATCCGCACAGGACCCTCCCGCTCTCCTGTCCACTGAGCCCCTGAGGGCCTGCGTCGGGCCTGGGACTGGGAGGCAGGGGGCACCAGTGGGCCCCTCCCCGTGCAAGCGGGTTCCCCTTGCCTCTGCCCCAGGCCCAGCCCAGGGCCAGATTCTGCTTGTGCTACTTACACCTCCCACCCTGGGCTGGGGTCTCCCACGGTGGCCTGGACCCCTTCCCACAGAAGCCAGGCCAGCGAGAGCTCTGGGGGAGCCTCCCAGCCTCTGGCAGGGGAAGAGGGCAACCCTTGGAGTAGGACAGACCCCTCCTCACTGCCACGGGCCCAGCTTCCCTTCCTTCCATCTGCTCTCTCCTCTCAGCATCCCCGAGAGGCAGGCAAGAAGGAACTGAGGGCAGAAGGTGGTTTTGGGGTCTCGGTCCCTCCTCCTCCTGGGCCTGGCCATGGCTCTGTGAGCTCAAGGCTGTGTCCCCTCCCCTGGGCTGCGCTGAGCCACGCTGCCACCACTCTCCGAGACGCAGATCTGTGGAGGGGTGGGGGCACATCTCCCCCCGCTTGGATGGGGCCATCCCCTTCACCCTGACCCACAAAGTCCGCTGACGCTCTGCCCATGCCCAGGCGAGGCAGACGCACGTCCCCTCAGGCAGGGCCAGGCCTGGGCACCCACAGGATGGCCCTCAGCCCGAGACCACGAGCCCTGTAGCCCCTTGCTGGACCCTCTCCCCAAAGCACTACTGCTGGCCCCCACTAGGCCAGTGGCTGAGGTGTGTGGTCCCTATCTCATGCGTTGAGTCCCTTAAGGTGTGTGTGTGTGTGTATGTGTGTGTTTGTGTGCATTCACTCTCAGGTGGGGGGTTGGTCTGGCCTGGGAGGCCAGAAAGGAGAGGCTTTGCCTCAGTCCCCCCATCACCACCACACCCCTTCCTAGAAAACACATTTGATGCGACAAGAAATGGGGGTCGAGGGAAAGGCTGCCAGGGACAGTGAGCCTTGTGAGACGGGGTCTGTGAGTAAAACAGGGGCTCAAATGCCCAGGATGAGGGTTATCTGTTTAGAAGGATCCCCAGTACTGCAGGTACCCCGAGGCCTGAGGGGTAGAGATCAGCTGGGGTACGTGCACCCCACCCCCAGGCTCTACCAGGCTGGGAGGGGGTCAGAGCTGCTGAGAAACAGAATGGCCCAGCCTGACACCCCAGTCTGAGCTGGAGCTGCCCCGACAAGGCCTGAGGACTTGCCCCAGAGGAACAAGGACTCCCTGGCTTCCTTGGTGGAAGGTTTATTGGTGCAGGTTAACTCCTGGGAGCCCCCCAAGACTCCCTCATGTGAGCAGACCCCCCCCCCCGTTTTTAGGCACTAGCCAGTAGACAGGATGTGGCATCAGCCCCAGGGCTGTCTGGGAGGCAGAGGGGCGGCAGTGCCCCTCCAAACCCATAGCCCCGCAGTGTCGAGTCAGAAATCCTCCCAAGACCCCCAGCCGCCTGGACTCCCCACCTCCGACCACCACCACCAACCCTCCATCCTTCCTAACACTGGCAATAAACCCTCAACTGTGACTCAGCCTGGCCCAGAGCCGCCTCTGTCTGTCTGGGTCCTGGGGGAGGCGCTTGGGGAGGGTACCCCCAACTTAACCCTTGTTTAGGGCTTCAGTGGCCCACTCTCCTCAAGTGGATCAAAGACTTCCTGTGTGACCAGGCAGGGGGTGAGGGGAGTCCCCGCCCACTCTGCCTCTAGGCTCCCTCACCTGCAAAGTGGTGGCTGTAATGTCATCTGTGATTGGGGCCAATTATCCATTCAGACAGAGCGGACACCATTCCTCGTTCCAGGAACTTTAATGTTTGTGAGAGAAAGTTCTGGCAAATACGCACCTTCCCTGGTGCTCTGCGCCCTGCCTGGGACAGGTAAGCAGAGCGGGCTCTATCTTGTACCAAGACTAGCACAGCCCTCCTCCCGGCGTAGACGGAAATCTGTTCTGTTTACAAGTACAAGCAGCAGCTGTAGCCAGGGCTGTCGGGGTGGAGGGCGGAGCCGGCCCCCCAGGAGCTGACCGGCTGGGGACGGTTGTCCACGCGGACCCTGGCCCCATCGAGGTGGGCCTTGCAGCAGGTAATAGGAGGTAGGCATCCTGAGCTGGAGGAGGAGGGGCCCTGGCATCCCACCCAACACCAGGGCCAGGGGCTCTCTTTAGGCCTGGGTGGAGCTCTCTAGAAGTCCCTAGGAGCGGGTGTGGGCCCTGGTCACGCCTCATGGGCTGTCTCTGGGAAAAAAATCTCACGGCATCGCTGTACTGTATCCTGTGGAGAGATCACGCTGTGGCCGACGGTCCGGGGGTCAGCGTAGATCTCGAAGTCATTCCCACCCTGCACACGAGGAAGGGCAGGAAGATGCACATACATGTGGTGCCTGGAGGCGGTTCCCTGCGCTAAGGCCCAGCACGTGCCCTGCCATGGGGTCCCCTCCCCACATTGGCCCCTGCAAAGCTGCCTCTCCTCCTGCCCCCTCAGAGCCACGCAGACCCCCACCTTCTCAGCCTTCACCAGATCTGCCCTGACTTGCTGTGTGACATGGGACAAGCGTCTAGCCAGTTCTCAGCCCTAGCCTTCCAATCTGTGTAATGGGGCTGAGGAAGACTGGCTGGTCTCTGGGAGTCTCCCCGGGCACAGTTCTGTCGCCCTGTGTCCTGGCCTTGACCTGGGGGTGATATGGGGTGGAAAACACCTGGGCTGAGCCACACTCACAGGGCTGGTCTCGTTCCCAAAGAAGTGAATGGTGTCGAAGCTGTCCTGGTCCAGGCTGTCCAGGCAGTAACGCTTGTCCCAGCCCTCAGGGAAGACGTCAAAGCTGATCATGCCGCCTGCAGGGGGTGGCAGACAAGGCGAGCACAGGGGTGGCCCATGGGATGAACTTGGGCAAGATCCTGCATTTATTCATTCATTCAACAACCTTGAGTGCCTACGCAGAGCCAGGCACAGGGTATGGGAGCCGCAGGCTCCTCACTGAGAGCTATGGTCCTGGGGGGGCGGGGGGCAGAACAGGCAGTGGGCAAGCCAGGCCACCTCAGAGCCGTGGGGCGGAGGGAGGGAAGCTGCCCCAGCCAACACCACCGGGGAGACCTCTCTGGGAGGGGACACTGAGCCAAGGCCTGAGCCAGAGCAGCAACTGCGGGAAGCAAGCATAGTCCCCAAGGCGGAGAAGGGCACAGAGTGTCCCAGCACCAGAGAAGGCAGGGCAGGGGCAAGGCCATGCAGGCCCTGGGGTCCGGCAGGGTCTGCTTTTCAGGGAGCATCCCTCTAGACACTAGGCGGTGGGAGGACGGCTGCGTTGGAGTCAGCCAGAGCCTGAGAAGAGGCTGCTGGTGGCAGAGGTGTGAGCCGTGGTCAGATTCCAGAAGGATTCTGGATGCAGGGCCCTGGGACTTGCTTGCTAGGAGACTGCCCTTGGGAAGGGGGTGAGGGAGAAACATTGAGGGAGATGCTTTGGTTTTTTGACCTGAACTACTGGGTGGGTGGCAGGGCATGGACTGGGTTTGGGTGGGGAGGACTACCGGGCAGGAAGGCTTTCTAAAGGCGCTGGGGAGGGCCGCGTGGCCTGGGGAGTGAGGCCCGGGGCTGGCTTCTGGGCCAGGCTCTCAGACCCTCCACGGGATGAGTGGATGCACGTACCTCGAGAGAACCTCAGCCCTTTGCCGGCAAACTCTGTTTTCAGGGCTTCCACAAACTTCTCCCGGATCTTCTCCTTCTGCAGGAGGGGAGGGAGCAGACTGAGGCTCAGAGGGCTGCCCTGTGCCAGGCCCTGTGCTGGGCACACAGCTGGTGGGAGCTCAGAGTCTTCCAGGTGGAGATCGTGACCCCCCATTTTACAGATGAGGAAACCGAGGCTCAGGGAATGGCTGTGTCCTGTTCAAGGTCATCCAGCCTCAGTGGCAGGATCCTGCCAATGGGGGTGTGGGTGAGGTATCTGAAGGAGGCCTTGGAGTGGAGGCACGAGGAGAAGTTGAGGGGATGGGCTTTCCCCAGCTCAACAAAGCAAACCAGACACCAGAAACGAGCATGAGGAGCCAAGAGCACGTGGAGACCTGTTACTACGTGGCACTGCGTGCTCGGAGGGAGGTCAGCAGGATGGCACAGCCAGCACCAACCACATGGTGCAGGGGGCTGGGGGCCTCAGCAGTGCCAGGAATGCCCTGCTGCACCCCAGCCCTCGGGCAGGATCTTCTAAGTCCGCAGCATATCTAGAGACTCGGACTAAGGACACATTCACTTATTAGGCCAAGGACCCCCGGCCTGGCCCTGCTGGGGCCACAGGCGGAACAGCCATGCAGGGCCTAGAGGGGCAGCATCTTGGCTCCTGTGCGGAGGGCCAGCACCACAGGGATGGAAGGTTCGCGCAGTGCAGGCTCGCTGTGCCCGAAGCAGCAGTGAGAGCCTGGCGGGACAGTCAGCTCACAGACGGTCTGGAAAGGAGCTTGGACACATCCTAGGGGACCAAGAGCCACTGAGGATTTTGAAGCATGGGAGTAGAGTGCCTAGGACTGCATTTTAGTCAGTCCACGTTGGGTAGGACTGGAACGGAGAGAGGCAGGCAGTGGCCAATGGTTTGGGGCCTGAAGTGGGCCAGGGAGGACATGAGCTATCAGGACAGATATGACCCAATCTGAGAGATAAAGGCAGGCCTCCTGGGTTCCAGGCCTGGCTGTGTGACCATGGGTGAGTCACCTGACTTCTCTGAGCCTATTTCCTGGGCGAGAAGATGGAGAGGTAATGAATGAACCCTACCTCCCTCCTTCTCCTAGAAAAGCAGAGGTGGGAGGTGGGCCCCCAGGGAGGCCGGAGTCCCCACCAGAGGCTACTTTGTGGGCCCAGGGTTAGAGTTAAGGGTGCCCCAGGCTCAGAATAAATGTTCCCACACGGCCCAGGATGGCTGTACCTCCTGTCTCTGGAGAACCAGGCTGACCACTGGACAGCCCCGTGTGTCAAGTCCAGCCTTAGCAAGCACCAGCACTGTGACCTTGAGCTAGTCAGTCTATGGCCTCAATGTCCTCTTCTAAGGAAGGGGACTACTGGCCCTTGGGATCTGAAGGACTAAAGCGGAATAAAATATTTATATGGGATCCTGGCTGGTGTAGGTCACACAGATCAGGAAGCTTGTGCCCTCCTCTCATACCAGAAGGGGGCGAACAAGAGCCAGAAAGACAAGAGAAGACCCTGGGAGCTGCGGGGTCAGCGTGTGCCAGACTTACATCTTGCGCAGTCACACAGCCCACGAGATGGGAACTATGCTCACCCCCACTTTACAGACGTGCAAACGGAGGCACACGATAGTAAAGCCACTTTTCCAGGCTGCTCGGCAAGCAAGAGATGGAGCTGGAATTGGAAACTGGGTGGCCTAAGTAGGGGCCACCTCTCAGTATGTGTGTGGGAGGGGTTCTCTGCCAATGGTCAGTCTCCACCACCCCAAAAGAAAAGCCTCCATGCCCGTGGGCAGTGCCTACCCTAAGCCTTGGGACATGGAGTGGGAATGGGAGTGGGGGTTGGTGAGCATCCCTCAGAGTCCCACCCACTCAGGGAAACATCACCAATTCCCTATGTGACCTTGGCAAGTCATTTCCCCTCTCTGAGCCTCAGTTTCCTCATTCATAAAATGGGGATGACACCACCACCTATTTCATTCGTTCAGAAAGTATTTCTCGAGCACTTGTTGTGTGTTGGGCACGTGCCACGCACAGGGGATCCAGCAGTGAACAGCCGCAGAAATCCTGGCCCTTAAGGAGCTTACAGCTTCAGTGCGGGAGACAGACAGTAACCAAGATTTGAAAAGTAGGTGACAAGAGTGTATTAGAGGGTGGTGATGGCTGCCTGGGGAGAAATAGGACAGGAGAGGAGCAGGAGGGGCAGGGGTGTCATGTTCAATGGAATGAGAAAGTGACACCTGAGCAGAGCTGGAGGGGAAGGGGGAGAGGATGAGCGAGGGAGTCTGAGGGAAGTGTGTTCCCTGAAGCTATCTTTATCTCCATCTGCTATCTCTAGAATCAGCAAGGAGGATGTGGTTGGAGCAGAGACAGCAAGGGGGAGAGAAGGCCAGAGACGGGCCAGTGGCAAGAGGCTTGGATGGATGGACTTACTCCATCCCTGAAAAAGCAGGGTGGGCGGTGGGGATGACAAGCAAAATGCAAGTCAAGGTTTAGTAGGGGCAGCATACCCAAAGGCAAGAGAAATGCTGGTATGTTCTAAGAACAGATGCACAGAGAGAAGGCTGAAGGGGTGGGTCTGAGCTGGGCAGACCCCTCAGGGCTCAGGGCACCAGCAGAGGGGCTGGGGCATTGCCCAGCTGGCAAGGGGAGCGATGGAAGAACTGTAAGCAGGGAGTGGAGGGGGCCGACATGCTTGAAAAGGGTCTCAGTGGCCCCGCTGGAGAACAGACTGGCAGGGGTTTTGGGGGGAGAGCACACAGGTGAACAGATTTGAGGCCTCTCTGGAGGCTGAATCAAGGGTCCACTGCTGGACCCTACATGGGCGGGAAGGTCGAAATGATGCCCTTGGCTTAGGTAAGTGGTGGCTGCTGATGCTGGTCACCAAGGGAAGGAAACCAGCCATGTAGGGAAGATACGGGAGTGCCTAGACCATGGCACATGGTGGGTGACCCAGAGGGTATTAGTTGAATCAGAACCATTCCCCCCCGCCCCCATCCATCTCGCTGATGAGAAAGCAAAGGCCCAGAGGGGCTGAGGGACCAAGGTCCTAGAGCCTAAGGTTGCACAGCTGGTGGCACCTTGTCCAGCTCGGAGAACTCGATTCGCTCCTCCAGGGTACAGCTCCGGCCGATGGGCGAGATGTTCAGCATGCCGTTCCGGAATTCGATGAAGGTTCCGCTGGTGGTAACGGGGGTAGGAGAGAGGGCAGGGAGCCAGAGAGAAGAACGGCCCTGAATTCAAATCTAGCCCCGTCTGGGACCACTGCCTCCCTGGCCTTCACACGGGACAAGAATCCACACACTGAGAAGTCGGGGCCCCAGCACCTGCCGGTTGCGTCCAGGAGACCTGCCCCTGTCCTCCCTCAGGCTTGGGATGGTGGTGGGGGGGCGGGGAGGCTGGATGCAAGGCTGGGAGGGCTCTCACCGCTTCTTGGGCAGTCTGAGCAGGGCCATGTAGCGGAGGCAGAAGTTGATCAAGTCCTGCAGTAGCTCCTCCCCCAGGTGGTTCTGGATGGTCTGGGCAAGGAACACGGGGCTCTGAAGGCGGGGGGCACAGGGCCCCCCCCCAGCCCAGGGCAGAGGGACCACAGGCTGTGCCACTGTGGAAAAGTGTTGCAGGCTGAGGCCCTGGGGGGCACTGACCTGCTTGGAGAGCAGCCGTCCATGCTTATACTGCACGGTCCCATTCTCGGCAAACACATAATCAAACTTCTCGATGACTTCAGGGGCCCATAGAAGCCAGGAAAAAAGAAAGAGTGTGAGACCAAGCACCCAGAGCCAAGTAGAGGGATAAAGCCAACACTCCTGGGTTTGGCATTCAAAGCCCATTTGTTCCATCCTGAACCTGCTTTTCTAGGCTCTTCACCTTCAGCTTTTTTTCCAAACAAGCCAGCAAGCCAGTCACACCCCTGGGCCTTTGCTTACATAGGTCCTTCTGCCTGGACCGCCCTCCCCTCACTTCCCCTCCCCCCTCCAAGATCCAGCTCCCTCCTCTGGAAGCCTCCCAGGACTCCCCAGCAGGGGGCGCCATTTCTACTTGTTCCCACAGCCCCAGGGTCCAGGGGCTTCCGCTTTGTTTTATAGCTTCCCTCACTGTTCTTCAAGGGTGGCTGCATGGGGGAGTTTTCAGATCTGGCTGCCACAGTAAGTGGCTGGAGGGGGCATGAGGAGGAGGCTCAGGGAGCACAGCCAGGAGGGAACCTGGACAATGAAAGAGCGGTGGAGATGCCGACGTGGACCCACAGGGAGATATTTCTAGACTTGTTGATGGAATGCACAAGGGGGTGAGGAAAAGGGAAAAGTCTGGTAAAGTTTCTGGTTTGCAAACTGGTGGGATCTGCCTCAATTGTGCTGAAACAGGGCACTCAGCTGAGAACAGATGCTCTGGGGCCCAAACAACTTCCCGGGTGACTTCAGAATCCTTCTCTGTTCAATGTGGTAACTGTGCCCACCCTAAAGCGTGGTTGTGAGGATGCACGAAAAGAAGTCAACACATGGTCATTTTCAATAATGGTAACCATTACTGACTGCGCACATTTTAAAGAGAGCACCTGAGACTCAGCAGAGAGAGCTGAGAATGTCAACTTCTCCAGGGCAAGATTCTGCCTGCTTTGTTCCCTGCCCTTCCTCCAAAGCTGACACGGTGCCTGGCACATGGCCGGCGCTCACTATGAATCAGTGAGGGAGAGATCTGGCTGTTCCCTCTGCCTCCTCTGCCCCACAGATGCGGGGCTGGGTCTTTGAAGGCACATGGGTCCAGGGACCTCCCCAACTCCCCCCACCCCCATCCAGACTGTGGAACTGGCTCTGGGTGCTCCTCCTACCTTCATCCCCCTCTCCCAGCTGCTCAGCAATCTTAGAGTAGTCGGAGCCACCGACCACACCGATCTGCACCCTACTCCGCAGCTTCTGCAGGAAGGCAGCCACCTCAGGATCAATTTTCTGCAGGGGGTGGGGGTGGGGAAAGCACAAGATTTCTGGCTGTCAGCATGTCTGGGACCTCACTCAACCCACACTCAGCACTCAGAATCCAGGAAGCCATGTTCCATCTGAATCTGAGGTAGCTCAAGGTTTAGAACCCAGACCTCAAAATGAGATGTAATGGATTCAAACTCTGGCTCAAGTCCCTCAGTTGCAGGCTGATCCTGGGCAATTGGCTTTGCTTTCTTTGCCTTAGTGATTGTCCCACTTATAAAATGGGGATCAAAGTAGCAACCAGCTGGAGGTGGTCAGTGCTAAGATTAAATGAGATAGGGGGACCAAAGTGCTTGGAAACGAACAAGCAATTAACTGGTGACTAATCACATGAAGATTCCCCAAGGAAATGAAAACTAATGAGTTACACTCCAGGTTTTCAGGCCCTCAGCTATTTAAAGCTGACAATTCCTATAGGGAATGACCATGTCAAATTCTGCCAGTGAGAGTGTAAACTGGTGCAGCCACGTTGTAGGGTAATTTGGCAAGAAAACTTAAAATGCATGCACCCCGTCACCCAGAATTTCCACTTCCCTTGCCTGGGTGTATGTGGAGGTTCACTGAGGTATGGTTTATCACAGTGAACACCTGCAAACAACTCCTAGGCTTGTCACCCGGAGAATAGTAAATACGTGCTCTGAAATACTACACTGTGGTCACCCAGAGTAAGGCAGGCCTGTGCTTCCAACAGGGGAAAGCCCCTAAGACATGCTGTTAACTGTCAAAAGCAAGTTGCTCAGCACAGAGTCTGCTTGAGACTCTCTCTCCCTCTCACTGCCCCCCCCAAAATAAATAAATCTTAAAAAAAAAAAAAGCAAGTTGCAGGAAGGCACACACAGTATGATACTACTCATTAAAAAAACCAAAACAAAACAGGAGCACCTGGGTGGCTCAGTCGGTTAAAGCAGCTGCCTTTGGCTCAGATCATGATCCCGGGGTCCTGGGATGGAACCCTGCTTCTCCCTCTTTCTCTCAAATAAATAAATAAAACCTTCAAAAAAAGAAAAGAAAAGAAAAGAAAAGCCTCACAAAAACCGCATAGTATTTGTTCTGAGCAAACAGATCTAGACGAAGGTCTGGAGGGAAGTCACATGACAGGCAACCACCCGTCATGTGGGGTTGGACCTGGGATCCTGATGTAGTCAGAAGGCACTTTAGCATCTGTTTTCATTCTTCACAAGAGAATGTGTTCATGAATATGTGTATAATTAAAAATTAACTTTTATTTATTTATTTGTTTTAGTAATCTCTGTACCACGTGGGGCTAGAACTTAGGAACCCCAGATCGAGTCACATGTTCTTCCGACTGAGTCAGCCAGGGGCCCCCGAAATTAACCTTTAAAAGCACTAAGGATAGGGCTTGGCACTAAAATTGGCGGACAGCAATAACACTTGTGCCGGCTGTTGGGTCAGTGGAGCAAAGGGTCAGAGGGAGGGGCTGGGGCTGTGCCTTAGACCTTGCCACCCTCCCTCCACTGTCATCTTTCTCCCATCCCTGGTGACCCTGGGAGCTGCTGGAGGCAGAGGAGCTTGATTCCTCCTTGTGCTCCCAGAGCCTACTTAATCCAGGGCTCTCAGATAGGGAAGGGGGGGTGCATTCAGGACCTAAGAGGGGAGGCTAAGACCTGTCTTCCCATCAGCCTCTGCTCTGCAACCCAGCCCTATGGCTCCCTGCTCTAGGGGATCCCAGTTGTTCCTTATGGCCCGACTGGAGGGTGGAATACCCTCAAGGCTGGCAAGAAAGAGGCCTGCTTATTTATGTACCCAGCTGGTGAGGATCGGTCTAGGGGCTCATCTAGGGTGAGATCCAAAGCTAGAAAAACGAGCGTGGAGCAGAATTTGGAGGATCAACACGGTGACAAGTCTTTAGAAGAGTTGTACTCCCACCCTCCCTGGGCCACAATACCTTCACAGTGACCGGACTAGGCCCGGGGACTCTCACTTCCAGGTGGGCAGGGCCCAAAACTCATCCAAAAAGGTACAGAAGCCCTACCTCCCTCCATAACTGAGGGTGGGAGGTAAAGTGGTTGAGGAGCTTGAGAAATTAGACCTAGGCCCAGGCCTGTAAAGGTCGGGTGGTACGGCTCCAAGACTCCCGGACTCTCACTAGATGGCGACTCTGGTGCCAGGGCGCGCGCCGAGCCCTGTCTAGAACCCTGGGCTCAGATGCCAGCTTCGGGCTACAGGTGCGTCCTAGGGGCGGGAGCCCGGGCTGGGGAGGCGGGGGCGTCCGGGGACCAGGCTTCGGCGAGAAGAAGCCTGAGTGGGGGTAGGGAAGCTAGGTCCCCGCTCGCAGCCTCCTCCCTCCAGAATCCCACCCGCCCCGACGCTCCCAGGCAGAAGGTGGGCGCCGACGCTCGGGGGCTGCGACACGGGGGACCGGGGCCCCATCACTCCCAGCGGGCGGCCCTGGGTGGGGTACCGCTGCATCCCACACTCGGTCCTGGGTCACCACTTTCGGCCTCTGAGCGTCCGCGTGACACTCCCGACGGAAGCTGCTGAACGTCGGGGCCTTACCTGGCGAGCCGGCGTGAGGGTCCCGTCCACATCAAACAGGCAGAGGACGCGCTCCTTCCTGCGGGCGCCCTCAGCGGAGACCGCCATACCTGCAGCTCCGCGCGCACCGCCGAGGCCAGGGATGCGGCCGCCAGAACCTCTTCGGAAAGAGGCTTGACCGGGCGGGGCCTGGGAGGGGCGGAGCCAGTCGGCCCGCCGACGGGTGCCGAACCATGAAGGGGCGTGGTCAGGGCGTGATCTCGGAGGGAGAAGAACTGCCTGGACGGGTCAGGGGCGGGGCCTGAGCTGACTCAGGAAGGCTAATTCTGATTGCACCAGGAGGGGAGGGGGCGTGGCATAGGGCGCAGCAGAGCGCGGCGGGTTGGTCAGACTGTTCCAAACCGGACGCGGGCGGGGCCTGGGCCTGGGCCAGGCGGGAAGTGAGGGATAGAACCCAGAAGAGAAGAGCGGGGCCAGAGTCGCTCCTCGGCGGGAAGATTCTGATTGCATCTGGTCGAGAAGGGGCTGGACGGGGGCGGAGCCTCAAACCCCGCAGTGCAGTGCAGGGCGGGGCGGGGCGGGGGCGGGACTCAAAGAACCGGAGCTGTCCCCGACTCGCCCTGCCTGCCATCTATGACTCACCCGCTCGTTGCTAATGTCTTTGCCCTACAAATCTTAAGCTTTATAAGTAATCACCTGATGTCCTTTGCTCAGGCTCTAGACTTTGCCAGATGGCCTTCGCCGACCCTTACTCCTCCTGCTGTCATTCTGCCCACCCCATGAGGCCCAGGTCATGGTCCACCTCCTTCAAGAAACCTTCCCGGGGGCGCCTGGGTGGCTCAGTTGGTTAAGCGACTGCCTTTGGCTCAGGTCATGATCCTGGAGATGTGGGATCGAGTCCCACATCGGGGTCCCTGCTCAGCGGGGAGTCTGCCTCTCCCTCTGATACTCCCCCCTCTGATACTCCCCCCTCTGATACTCCCCCCTCTGATACTCCCCCCTCTGATACTCCCCCCTTTCGTGCTCTCTCTCAAATAAATAAATAAAATCTTAAAAAAAAAAAGAAACCTTCCCGGATCCTTCTGTTCACAACTATTTAACCATCACATTGACTTTACGGACAGTTTTAGATTTTCTTCCCAGCTCCACCACTATGTGACTTTGCACAAGTCACTTCACTTCTCTGAAGCTTTGTGTCTCCATCTGTAAAATGGGAAGAACACCACCTACTTTGTACGGTTGCTGTGCACCTGCAAAGAAATAATAAATGAAAAAGCCCACATGGTACCTGGCACACAGCAGACCTCCTCCAAAGGAGAATTTATACAGATGTGTTTGATATTATTACTGGTTAAACAGCTATTGGCACATCAGAAGTCTTAAAAATGGGCAGACCTTTGAGCCAGCAATTTAACTTGTAGAAAATAAGGGGAAAAATTGGGCATTGGTTAAATTAATTATGATCCATTTATGAGATGAAGTGCCGTGAAGCCGTAGAATCTGTGTTGTAGAATATTTAACATGGAGGGAGCATTGTAATGGAAAGTAGCAGGCTGTCTCCAGGTGGTGGTATTATGGTGAATTTTAACGTTTTTCTCCCCTTGGAAATGCATCGACTGCAGCTTCCTCTTCTCCAAGACTCTCTTTTTTGGTTTCCTTCCATACTGCCAGAGCCAAGCCCACCCCTGCTTCCCTCTGTGCTCCCAGGGGGAGCATTCAGCTTGGGAGTATGCCTGGGTGGGCATTTTTGCTGCACCCACCATTCTTGCCCTGATGCCTGTGATCAGCTCTGGCAGTTTGGGTCATGCAAAGACACACATCCACACACCCACGAGTGGCACTTCAGTGCACCATGCTTTTGATAGTTGGGCTTTGTTTGTTTATTTTTGTCTCGGTAGCTGCAGAGGCCTGGGAAGATCATGGGAGGCAGAGTAAGGAAAACTGTAGTTTGGTCCCTGCTAACTGTAAGGACTTGAACAGGTCACCTTTCCTGACCTGTTTCTCCATCTATATAATGGGGATGTAATTCCCACCTGATATGACTATGAACAGTGAGATAGTAGTGATGAAGGAGCAGAAGGCAAGCTGAAGACAAAGCACAAGCTGACATCCCGGGACCCCCGCCCCCTTCCTGGGTGGGATATGTGTGACATTCCTCCAGGAAACTTCCAACTATCTTCATGTTAGTGCTTTACTAGAGGGAAAAACCACCTTAGCTTGATAATGTCAAGGCCTCCAGTATCCTGAACGTCCTCTTCAGCAGATGAAAGTCCTTTTGGACACCTCCCTTTTTCCTTAACCCCAACTCCCAAGTATATAATCAGCCACCCCTCACAACCCTAGTGCAGCAGCTCTTTCTGCCCATGGGTCCTGTCCCTGCGCTTTAATAAAATCACCTTTTTATAAAATCACGTTTTTGCATCAAAGACATCTCAAGAATTCTTTCTTGGCTGTTGGCTCCTGACCTCACCAACATTCCAAAACTACATCAGTAGTAACCGTTATTTATTGACTCCTGACTGTGTGCTAGCCCCCACACTGGGCACTTGACCGCATATCTTCATTCATTCTCAGGGCAATTCTAGAAGGTACTATTGTTGTTGCAAGATTTATTTTCCTTCTGTGCCCGCAGTCCTTGGTCAATGTCGCTTTGAAGAATGAAGAGGTAGACCAGACGAAGAGTAGTGGGCAGCAAAGCAAAGTTTATTGAGCGATAGTATAAAGTTTATTGAGTGATAGTACAAAGCTCCTGAAGAGGTAGGAGACCCAAGAGGGTTGTCACCGGAGTTTCTAAGTCTAGGGGTTTTTATGGGCTTGTTGGCAGGCTGTTTTAATCTGATTAATCCTCTTTGTGGGGTGCCTGGGTGGCTCATTCGGGTTCGGCGTCTGCCTTTGGCTCAGGTCATGATCCCGGGGTCCTGGGATCGAGTCCCGCATCAGGGTCCCTGCTCAGTGGGGAGCCTGCTTCTCCCCCTGCCCCTCCCCCTGCTCGTGCTTTCTCTCTCTCTCTCAAATAAATAAATAAAATCTTTTTAAAAATAAAAAGCCAGCTAAATTATATCCAACAGCATAGTTCTAAAAAAAAAAAAAATCCTCTATGTGCCTGTCACCCAATCAGGTTTTTGTCATCTATCTATCATGTGGAAAAGGGTGGAGGGCTTCTTCCAGGGTGGGTGTAGAATCCTTTTAAGGGTGGTTTCCTCTTATGGTAGGGGAGTTTGGGGGGCCATGGGGAGGTAAAGTGAGTTATCCGCCACAGGCAAAAAACTTAGGAGAGTACCAAAATAAATCTAAAAATAAATGGCATTTTAATTTAATTTTTTTCTTTTTAACTTAATATTTTTAAAAAAATCAAAGTTAATGCAAAAGAATCCATGATGAGCAGAATATCAGAAAAAATTTAAAAGACAGGATCAATAGGGGCAGCGCCTGGGTGGTGTAGTCGGTTGAGCGTCTGACTCTTGGTTTCAGCTCAGATGGTGATCTTGGATCCGTGAGATCCAGCCCTGAGTTGGGCACCATGCTGAGCTCAGAGTCTGCCTGAGATTCTCTCTCCCTCTCCCTCCCACTTGTGCTTTCTCTCTCAAACAAATACACAAATCCTAAAAAAAAGGATCAATAATTGTGCCCTGCTGAGGAGCCATATTCAAGCTGGGCAAAAGAAAAAATCTGCCCTTTTTTTCCAGGCCCTGTGCCAGAGTCTGATTTATTCATTAAACAAATGCATTGTGCTACACACTGTTCTGGGTTCTGGGAAAACCATAGAGAACAAAACAAGGGCCCTGCCTTCAAAAAGCTTTTGTTTTCTGTTAGATGCAGACAGCCAACAGAATCATCTCTGTGGGAAGGAAAACCCAGCTCGTTCTCCTGCTCCTCCTGCTCCATCCAGATCTGGTCCCTGGGACTCTGGGCACTGGCAGGACCTGAAACCCCTCCCAGGGCCCAAGAGTGTAGAGCCGGCGGGTGGGGCTGGAATTGTGTAGATTCGCCTCTCATATCTCACAGCCAATATCTGTTCCATTGCCGAAGAATTCCTACGAATTGATTAAATGCAGATACCCAGGTCCCACCCCTGCTGCAAGGATCCAGAAGCTGTAGGATGGGGTTCACAGGGCAGGACAGGTTTTTGTCTCCTGTGGATTGGGCCCACAACAATAGCACACCTGTGCCTTAGACCTGGGGGGAACTAATTTCCTTACAAATACCTTTCACAGTCTCTTCCTGAATTCTCACCTCAACCAGAGGGAGTAGCCCTTGTGGCCACCAATGTGTCCCTTTAAGAGAGAGGCTCATCCCTGGCAACTGGTCCTCAGATGGGGCCCTGGAGCAGCCCTAGGGAGAGGGAGGAGTAGGACTGGGGAAACTGGGACTAGAAAGACTGGCCAGAGGGCATTTCCAGAGCACGAGAGGAAGCCAGGCCTGAAGACAGGGGGCCTGAGACCCTAGCCTGGAAGGCTCCTGCTCAGAAAGGCTCTGGCCCTATGGGGCCAGGCATTTGCCTGAGGTTTGGAGGTTAGTGTGGCTTCCATATTTGGTTTGGACACTGTGGCTCCTACCCTGGGTGTTTCATTTACTTTTGCCAAGAACCCTTGGAGGTGAGTACCCTTCCATCAATTTCTAGAGGTCGGTACTGACACCAGAGAGGTGAAGTTGGCTTCCCAGGATCACAGTGTGGTCAGGATTCACATTCAGTTCTGTTCTTCCAAAGCTCATGCTTTTCCCTGCCCCCTTGGTGGAAGGCCAACTGTCAGCATGTGCTGAGCGAATATAGGGGCTTTGGACCCTCTTTTTCCCCACCTGGAGTGTGACTTTCTGAGGGTGGCAGTCCCAGCCTGAGGGGCAGTCTTGATGTAGTGTGTGGACAGTCAGACTGACAGCTCCTGGGCTGCCCCTCCTTCCCAGCTGGGTGACCTTGGGCAGGCCCCTCCCAATCTCTGAGCCTGTTCCTCGTCTATAAATGGGGCCACGAGTGCCAGCTTCTCCCGGGCTGTCAGGAAGATGAGGGTGCAGGAAGGGAGACGTGCTAAAAGAGGCTTTGCAAAGAACAGTCAGGGCTGGTCGCTGGTTCTAATTCCCTCTGGGTTCAGGGGCAAGTGGGAGGTTGAGGGAGATTGTGGATGTTGGCTTCTTTTCTCCCTCTTTCAAAATGTCTGCAGGGCTTATGTTGTTTTCACAATAAACAAGTGCATGGATTTAAACAAGTGGAAGGGTGCATGCTCAGAGGTGTTTGTGGAGGGGGTGGAGGGCTGTTGCTGGGTTGTCAAGGCCCCCTTGGGGCCAAAGCCAGTGGGGACAGGGATGACACTGCCCCACCTGGAGGTGGGGGGCAGGGGCGGCAGCCCTCCCTCCCCCTACACCTGGGGTTAGTGATCTCTGTGGATCAGAGCCAAGCCCCAGGACTGAGAACTTGGGCGATTCACTCCTCATCTCTGGAGCCAGAGGTCGGGAGAGGAGTCTCCGTGAGGAGGGGTGGTAGAGACCATCTGATCCATAGACTTCATTCTACAGATGCAGAAGCTGAGGCCCAGAGAGAGGGGGGCCTTGATCAGGGTTATTTGAGTCAGAGCCTCGATCCAGGTAGGTCTGTATCTAAGTCCAGGTTTTTTATGATCCGATCTCCCCTTCAGTGTTGGCCCCACAGGAGATGCTGGCTCTGTGCCAGGTCCTGTGCTGGACGCTGGGCACACAGGTGATCAGAGCCAGGTCCTACCCCTGGAGGGTGCCTCAGCTAGTAGGAGTGTGCCAGGAAGCACCCACAGGAGGAGGGGTCCACTCTGGGGTGGGGAGAAGCCAGGAAGGTTTTGTAGAGGAAATGCTGGAGCTAGGCCTTTAGCTCTGGGTAAGCAGTTGCTCTGAGAATAGGTGGGGAGAGGAGATCCAGGTCCTGCAACAGTAACTGAAGCTGGAGGTGGAAGTGGAAACGGCTTGCAGTGACAGGGGCCTGCGCTTGCAGCAGGATGTGGGGGTTGGAGAGGTCCAGGGACAAGTTTAAGAAGGGCCTTGATAGGGGCACCTGGGCGGCTCAGTTGGCTAAACATCAAATTTTGATTTTGGCTCAGGTCATGGTCTTAGGGTTGTGAGATCCAGTCCTGCGTGGCTCTCTGAGCTGGGTGTGGAGCCTGCTTGAGATTCTCTCTCCCTCTCCACAGCGCCACCTGGTGCCCATCTCTCTCCCTGCTGCACGACCTTGGCGGTGGGGGTGGGGTGGGGAGGGTGGAGTCTGGAGCAGAGATCTCTGCAGGGGACTCTGGGCTCCCAGGCAACCCTTGAGACCAGGACCAGTCCCACAACCCCTGCCCCCTTCCGAAGCAGCCAGGCTCCGTGGTCAAGGGCTCACATTCAGAGATGTGCCAGGCCCCTCCTGGGTTCCTTGCTGCCCTCTCAGGCCAGAGCACCTCTGAGCTTGAGGAGACATGGGTCTCATGGTCCAACCTGCCAGCCTGGGCAGGTATCCTCCTACACCATCATCCCACACCAGAGCAGGTCCAGCCTCCACGCACACAACTGTGATAAGCGGCCCACTCTTACCTAATGGTTCCCTCAAGCTTTGGGGAACTTTGCTGGAATGTTCTCTCCTTAGAGCTTCCTCTATCCAATACCACCAGGCACCATCACTCCCTCCTCGATGGTTCTCCTTCCACCTTCCTGGGTCTTACAGATCTTCACTACATGCTGAGAGAACAAAGGCAAGTGCCACACAGCATGTCTTCAAATCCCCAGAAACGTCTGCAGAGATGTTCACAAAATCCAGTATCTCTTAGGATGATGGAATTTCAGAATTTCATCTTTGTACTTTCATTGGTTGCTTACATTTTCTAAATATAGATTATCTTCTAACCAAAAAAAAAAAAAATTAACTTTGGGCAAAACAAATTAAGAAATTTAAGCACACCCCAAATCAAAGCTGGAGTAGCTCCGTCAAAGCTCACGGACGCAGGGCGAGGCTGACAGTGGTTCTGCAGTCACCGCAGCTCTGGCCTTTCCTATTTCCCGGGAGCTGACCATCCCTCCCCGCACTCTGAACACCCGGGGAACAGGGAGCTTCTTCACAGCTCCGGGCACTTAGCAGATGCACAACACACCTCACCTCTTACCTGACTTCTGCACTACCCTCCTCCCTGGTTTTCTGCTGCTCTTCTTACGCCACCCCATCCCCCGTCTGTTCTCAACATAGCAGATCGCTTGTGTCATTCTTTGACCTACAAGGCCCTGCACCGTCTGACCCACTGCCTCTCTGGCCTCTCTGGTCTCCACGCCTTTTACCACCCCCTTGGCTCTCGTGCTCCAGCCACTCTGGTCTCCGTTCAGTCCTTCCAGTGTTGTTTTCACTTGCTGCTCCCTCTGCCTGGAATGTTCTTCTCTCACTTCCATCCTTCGTCAGATAGGCCTCAGATTAAACATCACCTTGTCACACGACTTGCCCAGCCTCCTCACACATATCCCCCACTCACACACTCTGCTGCCGCCTGGTTTTATTTCCTCCCCAGCACTATGCCACCTGAGATTACCAAACTTCTCTCCCCTTTTGTCTCCCAACCTCCCCAGAATAGAACCCCTGCCAGGCAGGGGCCTTGGGCCTGCTCAGCACTGCACCCCTAGCACAGAGCCCAGTACTGCTTTATGTATAATAGGCCCCCAGGGAAACCTTTGTGGGGATAAATGAACTCACCCGATTGACTTGCCGTGAGTCACAAAGTCTAAAGGTAAAACCATTTGCCATTTCCCCCACCAGTAGGCGGTACACATCTGCAGCATCTTGTAAACCATCCTCAGCAGAGAGGAACGGCCGCCTCTGCGCGGAGCTGGTTCACCGGAGTCCCCACAGTCAGTGGCTGTGGAATGCATTCTGCCCTCAGCCCGACATTCATTGAGTATTTCATCTGTGCCAGGCACTGAGCAGAGCACTTGGCATTTACTCTCTTGAAAAGCACCCTGTGAGGTAGGTACCATTTACCGCATTTTACAGATAAGGAGACTAACAGACTGGCCCCCAAGTGGCAAAGTTAGGACTTAAGGCCAGGCTGTGTGATCTCAGAGCAGGCGCTCTTAAGGAGTCCTGCCTCTGAACATGCCAGCTTTGGGGGAAAAAAACAATGTCAGCCAAAGCCACGTACCCTCTGTGTCCTCTGGAGGGACAGAACAGTCTTCTCTAGCTAGCACGCTGAAGACACACAGCGCCTCAACAGCGAGGTCTCACGGGTCCGGTGGTGAGAACACATGACCTAGATTCAAGGGCTCAGCTATGTGCCCCCTGGATAGCTTCGTTTCTCTGCACCTGTCTCCCCATCTGTAACATGAGACCCTATCTACATCTCAAGTCCGTTGTGTGTGAAAGCACCCAGCAGAGGCTCAGCCTGTGGAAGGTGCTCACGCAAAGTGGGCCAACGGAACCTACAGACACCTGCAGCCAGACTGCTGTCTCTGGTAGTACCAGGGGATGCTCAGAGAGCTAGCCCACCCATCCCCACACTTGTTCAATGAGGTCACGGTAACAAGGTGGGGAGAGATCCGTGGGGCCACAGACCCAGCCGATAGCCAAACTGAAACCAGAAGTGAACACGTTTTGGTGAGGTCAGATGTCCTCTGACGGCCAGCGTCCTCTGGAGGAAGATCTCAGAAGTTGGGGCCAGTAGATGAGGCTTTGAGTCTTACTCTACCACCAGTTGCAAGGTGACATGGGGCAAGTAATATTCTCTCTGGGCCTTTTCCCCATTTTTGTAAACCAATGGTGAAAGTCACACATTATTCCCTGCTATCGTCACTTCTTATCCATAAGGCTTACAACTAAGCAAAGGCAGAATATCCAGACTCAGCAAAGTTAAGCTCAGACGGAGACAGACGCCTGGCTATGTTGGACGCAAACCCAGCCCTTCAAGCACTACACAAATGCAGCAGGCAGAAATGAGTTTATTGCGTTAGAAAAAACACCAAAGAACACCAGCAAACACCTCCGTACTAGACAGTTTGACTTCAAGGGCACAAAGGAATCTCAAAGGTACAGCTTTGTTTTGGAGAGGGGGTGATGGTCTCATCCCTCCTCCTTCCCTGTCCCTTTAAGCCAACGGACCTCCATGGAGGTGTCCACGGTAGGATACGATTACACACATGGCTCATTTCCCACTCTGCTCACCTCGCACACCTGTGTGGAGCTAGCTGGTCACAATGAGCAGGCTCCTGGGGTTCTGCTCTTGACCGAGAAATGTCAGGATGGGGTTGGGGGTCGTAGCCTGAGCCCAAGCTTCCCAAATGAGTGACGGTGGGCCTGGGATGGGGAGAAAGAGTGTGCCTTCCTGGAGAGCTCTGACGAGACAGCTGGGCGATCCCTCCATCTCCCCCCACAATCCCTAGGGCACAGGCATTGGCACAGATGGCTGCTGGCATGGAGGGGGGCTTTCGATGAACCCAGTGACTCAGTCTCTCAGGGTAGCTACTTTGGCTAACTTCTCCTGGGTCTGGAGAGACTGCTATTAGGAGTGAAGCCAGCTGAGCCTGGATATGGGGGAGAAGGCGGGGAGGAGCCTGTGATGCCCAGTGCCTTCTGGATAGAGCTGAGAGTTCTGGGAGGAGAGGTCTGGAGCAGGAGCCTGGAAGAGAGGGCTAGGCGAGGCAAGCGGAAAAGGAGAGAAACTGGGTGGAAGGCGGGGCGAAGGCCTCCGCCAACGAGCTGCCCTCCTGGGAGAAATCCAGCCTGAAACCTATTCTCCATGAGCCCAATTCCGCCAGTAGATCCACCACATTAAATAACAGTCTCTGCTGGTTTCTGCTCTCCAAAATGTCCTTTGACATCACAGCTGGTCACTGTGGAGGTGCCCCTGGTCAGGTCACAGGCCAACACTAAGGCAGAAAACCGTCTTTTCATCTAGCTGAGACCGCGATGGTGCCAACTGCTGTGACGAATGGCAGAGACAGGAGGAGATGAGGCCAGAGGTGAGCAGCAGCTTTTTGGAAAGCAAAGGCACCTGCTACGGGCCAGACCCCGGAAAGAGAACGTAATTCAAGTCTGAGAAGTGGCAGGAGCTGTGGCAGGAGGGGCCTACAGATGCCAGGGCTGGGACTCAGGGACCCGGCAGTTCTAAGTCCCTTCACCACACTCACTCCCCAAAAACTAACTTAAGGGAGGCATGTGAAGAAAAGGAATCTGAGAGCCTCTCCAGAGAAGAAAGGTCTGGATTGTTCCTCCCTATAAGCTCCAGCAGCAGCTCATTAGGAAAATGCCCAGGCAGGCTCTCAACAATGCATCCTTAAAGTCAGAACGACAACGGAAATAACATGTGCCTTCAAAACACATTGAGGATAATGTAAAAAAATCTCTATTGGAAACAACTCCAAATTTTCTTGCCACCTTGATTCTGCATTATTATTATTTCTACATCAGGGATATTTTCCCAGAGCAGGGAATCCCTTCCCCTTGGTCCCTAGCTGAATATTGCATACTGGTTTGGGGGGTGGGGGGGGTACAGTGACTGATAAAAACCTACATTATTACTTGCAGACAAAAGGCCTGGGTCTCTGCCGCTCCAGCCCAAATCTTCATCAACTATGACAGGTCAGGAGGAAGGTCAGGCTGCTGAGGAAGAGCAGCCCACAGGCAGCAAGGCAGGTTCTCCAAAACTGATGTCAGAGGATTGGCAATCAGTAGGCGGAAGGAAGAATGGCTTTATCCTGTACTCTCTGGCCTGACACTTGCTGTCACTCTCTCTTGATCCTGAGGCTTCTGGTTGCTCCAGGCCTGGCCCCATGGCCTTGCTTGGGGTAGGGAGGGAAGGTGAGAGGTTGCGGCTACAGAATTCACTTAGGTTGGATTAGTCCTCCTGAAGCTGGTCCCAGGTGCACCAAGTCCTTTGGTTCTTTTAAAAACCAGGGAGTAACTGCTTCCGGAATGTTGCAACTGCTGTTCCACGGATGTCGTAAAACTCACCCGGGTCCCACAGGTGGTGACAACCTGGGTAGAGCACGGGCGTTCTCTGGAAAGAGGTGCTAGGTCAGGGCTCCCCCAAGCTGTGCCTCTTGCCTTCTGCTTAAACAAACCCCCTCCCTTTCTCCAGTGTGGAGGACGCTCAGGAAGCAGCGTCAAAAGTGAACTCACAGACAAGACAGCCTTAATAAATTAGTATAATACTATTAGAAGGGATGGCATTTTGTTCTGTTTCTTAGCAGCATTGTCCTACATGCAGCCTGATGATCTCCTTCCCTGGGAAATTTAAAAAGCCATCCCCTGGTTGTTAGATCTGATGTAAAATTATAAAATAGAAATCTGGTAGGGTTTGTTTTGTTTAAAAAGGAAAAGCCCCTGTGAGGCAGGGCGGTCCCATGCAGTCCTGTTAGCTCTGGCCGTTGGGTCGGCCCACGGGGCTCCCTCCAGGAGGCTGGATCTGGACGGGGTCCAGGAAGGGCCGCAGGGCCTGTCCGAAGGGCCTGTGGAGAAAAGAGACCCAGGGCTGGGGTGGGCTGGGTGCAGACCATCACAACTGCGCCCACTGGGCTGGTGGTGCCACCCAACACAGCCTCATTCAGTTTTCTCACATACCCCGCACATGACATTCCTCGAAGGGCTCTCGAGATAGCCTGCTCTGCCCTTCTACCCCTGGGGTCCCCTCCTCAGTAGGTGCTGCCATCTGCTAGATCCTGGTTAGCCGTGGCTTGAACAGGTTAGCGACACACAGGGAACTAGAGCTTTCTGACCTTTCTGTGCCTGAATCTTTAACTCTCACGGTACAAGAAGATAAAATAAGGTTTGAACGAGGAAGCTGAGGCAAAAGAATAAGGGTATGGAAACGAGATCTTCTAGGGAGTACAGGGAATATTCAGGAAAAATGACAAATGCAGGTTGCCAGAAGGCGTTAATGCCACTTTCTAAAGGGCTCCCTGTTCACGCTTAGGATAGCTTGGCTGGAAAAAAACACGGCAAAAACTGGAGTCTTAGAGATTTTCCAAAATTCCTAGAACCTTAAATCAGGGGGCCCACAACACATCTCAGCTACTGGCCTTCTTTTTCTTTGGGGGATATTGCCATTTTTGAAAATCACATCCAGGTTTGAAGGGAATGAAGCATTCTCGAGCATAAACAGATGAAACCCTAATCCAGGCAAGTCCTAGAACTCCACCCATCAAATAACAACAGCAAGAACGTTCCAGCTACTTCTACTTGCTTAGGGCCCCATAACCTAGATCCTTTAGTGAGGCTGTGGGGTTCAACACACCCACTGAGGAATAGGCAGGGAGGGCCAGGGCCGGGAGATGGGGCTCTCCTCACCAGCTGGACACAGCTGTCCCATTTCCTCTGCAAGTTTTTCCTGAGGGTTTCCTACCCAGGTGTGAAAAACAGCTCATCTTACCGAGCCTGCTAAACCTGTCAGGATCTCTGGCGGACAGGGCCCCAGTTCAGGAGAAACTGAGTCAGAGTCAGCAGATGGACATGGTCCTGGAGTGGGTAGAGGCTGCCTGAACATAATCAACAGCCAAGGAGGGGAAAGGTAAAATGGGTTTGGGTGTGTGTGTCCTTTTAGGGGACATTGCCTGGATGATGGCCCACAAAGCTGGGACTACACCAGGGTGGGCGGGGCTACAGTGTGTACCTAAAGAAAACATTTACAGAGGGCTGACTTTGCCCTACAAGATATGAGGGCCAGTAGGACGTTGTCTTTGAGAGCATCAAAGAGCTCATGGTGCAGGGGAAGCAAGACCAACAAATGACATTTACAGAATAAGCCACACTATTAATTCTCTGATCTATCCTCTGCTTGTCCATCTAAAAGTGCATTTTATGCAAGCACTTCTGGGAGCGGCCTTCTTCATGAGCAACGTGAAAGACAGATGCCAGGATTCTGTACAAATGCTGGAGCCAGATTCAAGTGGGTTTCTAAGTTCTGTGGCTGCACTCAGGCCAGGGTGGAGCGGGTCCAACTCCAAGGAGGGTGAAGGTCACACAGGTGGGCACCCGTGACTGGAGGGAATGGTGGCCCTCCCCATTGGCAGGTGCCATCACGACAGGGGCCACCTAGGATGGGAGGATTCTGCTGAGAGCAGGGAAGGCGGACGTGGGCCAGATGAGCCGCACTGACTGTGAATGGGGGTTTCAGGGGCAGGGCCAGAGATCGAGGCCACTTACGTGGATAGAATTTCAGAGGGAAGGTCAGTGATGTAAGAAGGGATCTTCCTTCCGGTCAGGAACTGTGCCACTTCGTTGGTAAAGGTGTTACAGTTGTTTTCAAAGACGTTGTAGGCCTCTCTCCTGTGCATTGTGGGAAAGGTTTGGAAAAGAGATCAGAGGGGCAGCAAGCACATTTGAGGGGATAACTCAAACCAAGTAATGGCATGGTGAGCACAGCTGAGTACGAGGACTAGGATTCTCCTTCTCTCTTATGCTCCAAAGGACTGCTGGATTTGCCACCTTGGACCATAAAACACCGATTTTTAAGGGAAGGATGAAATAAAAATATATGGCTCCTCTACGGTTTCAGGAGAATCTTTATATTCACAAAAGCAGAACTCGAGGGTTAGACTGAACACTTACTGCAAATGACTAAAGCTTCTTGAAGAGAAAACCTGCTCAAGGTCCCATGTCATCCCGACCCCTCCACAAGCCCCGTTTTTGAATTTTCAGGACGAGATACTTGCCCAGTGTGGGTTGAGAGCAGCAGCTGCTGATTTCAATCAGGAGGAATAAATAGCCCTTCCTTCCCTCAGCGTTTCGGCAGAAGGTTCGCTGGGACAGAGTATCTGCCTTGGAGCAATGCTGAGCTCTCTGTGGCATAACTGCTTTCTCTTCAAATTTATTCAGCAAATACTGGGCCAGACCTTGTGCTGAGTGCTCTAGGGGATGTGAGCTGGTGGCTGCCTCCGGGGCCGATCGTCTAGTGGGGGAACAGACACAACTAACCACCACCCATGTCTCCACTCACCGGAACAGAGACTCCCCCAGGGAGGACAGGTACTCCTGAAAGAGTTCTTCTGTGACTTCTGTGCTCCCCACATCAACCACAGAGTCTGGGGGCCCAAGCAATGTCCCTCCCTAAAAGAGCCAACCCAGAGAAAGTCATTAAGTCACCATCTCCACTTAATTTTTTTCATGTGGCCTCCCATGGAAGACCACCAAAGCTCTGTTCCAACAACATTTACCTTTCAGAGCACCCAGGGCAGATGAAGAGTGTTATTTCCTATTTGGATCAAGGCTGCAATGGCTTAGAGCTTCCTGTCAACTCTCCATTGCCACATGCTGGCAACGTGGCTAGGAAGCTGGGCTGCTGGTTTCTGGCAGGGCCCTGGGAAGCCGAGTCTCTGGCCGGTCAGATCCCTGATGCTGTCTACTCATCCGGTTGATTAAAAAAAAAAAAAAAAAAAAAGAAACCCAGAACCTGAAGTCTCCCTTTGTCCCCAACATGCCTGATCCCAAGGGCACAATAGGATAACCAGAAATGGCTAGCACTTGACAGGCCATCTTTCTATGCCTACATTTAAGTGTATGCAGCCAGTTTTTTCTTGTGACACACTTGATATCCCTTATAAGACTGGGAAAATGTGAAGGACCTCTGAGAAGTCTGGCGGGCTGGCATATACTTCCACAACTCAGTTCTATTTTGATCTATGAGGTTAATCTAACAACGATGATAGGGTTCCCCAGGCAAGGGAGTTAATGGCCCATGGAAGGCCTATAGAAAACCCTCTGCCGTGGGTTAACAGACTGCCATAGCAGACCAAAGGAGAGACTGAGCCAAGGGGGAACCAGCCAAGGGTGAAGCAACAGATCACTGGGGAAGACAGAGCTGGGAATGGACTGGGGGCGTAAGGGAGCGCACTCCTGAGCACAGCTTCCAGAAAAGACCATTCATTCATGCAATAGCTATTGAGCACCTACTGTGTGCCTGACATTGTTTGAGGCACTGGGGAAAGCATGGTGAGCAGGATAGTTATGGTAGTCCAAGAAGAATGGTCTCAGAATTGCAAGAGACTGAAAGGTCACTAGTTGAGCCCCTATTATTCACTCATATAACAAACATGCATTGAGAACTTACTAGGTGCCGGGCCTTATGCTAGGCACTGGGGGTACAATGTGGAAAAAACAGATGAGATTCTTGCCCTCATGGAGCTTATAGTCTAGCGGGGAAGGCAGACAAGAAAATCCCATAAACCAATGTAAAATTATGAGCTGCGATAAGGGTCTTGCTGGAAAAGTACAGAATGCCGTCAGTACGTATGACAGGGGACCTTTCCAGGCTGAGGGGTTTGGGAAGACTTGCCTGAGAAACTGACACTGAGCTCAAATCTGAAGGATGGAGAGGCAGAACCAGGTGAAGGATCAGGGAGGTGGACTGAAGTGAGAGGGAAGGTTCCAATGTCCTCGGAATGTTCTAGGAATGAGAAGCAGGTGGGGGTGGAGAAAGGCACTACCTGAAAAGAGGTCATTCAGAGAGGGAGACCGAGACTAGATCAGATAGGGCCTGGAGGTCAGGCTGAGCTTGCTGGGTTTTATTCCAAGGGCAGTGGGGAGAGTTCTGACTGAAGCAGGGGAATGCCATGATCAGATTTTCATTTTGAAAAGATCACTTCACTTCCTGTGTGGAGTCCTGACTGAGGAGCAGACGTATTGCTGCAGTCCAGGCTAGTTGTGAGGGTGGCATGGAGGAAGGTGAGAGCTCTGGAAATATGGGAAGAGATGAAGAGAGAGAGACTGACTTAAGATACATTTACAAGGTAGAACTGACTGGGCTTCATGAAGGATTTGTTAGAGGAGGTGGGGAACAGTGAGCAGAAGAAATCAAGAATGACTTTCCGTTTATGAGTATCAAAATGAATGGTTGCTTGGTCTTTGCTTGAACACCTCCTATGAAATTCTTAGATAGCTCAGAGAGAAATTTCTTGGAAAGGTGCATGGCCTTTAGAGACAGAGAGTCCTGACTTTTAGCACCAGTGCCACTTACTGGCCCTATAACTTGGGGCAACTCACTCTACCTCTCAGAGCCCTAATCCTTCAGCTGAACATTGGCTGAGTTCATGCTATGAGGTAGGCACTGAGCTGGTGACGGGAACAGGGAGGGAGGCACAGTCTCAGCTCACAAGGAGCTTACACACAGCTCCCTGCAGAGACTCAGGAACAGCTCATCTACCATATCATGCTCGGTGTGACCCAGAGGGACCCACACATGCCGAGGGAGTAGAGAGGCCAGGGAAGGGTGCTCTTGAGCTGAGTCTTAAAGTAGTTACGAGGAACTACGCCACAGGCTGACATCCACTGGGCTAGAAGCCAGGTATACAGAGCGGGAGCAAAGTTCCCGGTCTACGGGAACCCCACGAACCTGAGACTGGGGAAGGGTGTGGGGGAAGCCACTCACTGGGGGACAGCTGGAGATACCGCTACTGCCGAAGTAGAACTCATCCTTGTGCACAACTATGGAGGTGTGCCTGCAATGCAGAGAAGAAATAGGATAAGCCAGAAAACTTAAAACTGGTCTGAGAAAAAGCAAATACCACACTGCGAGGAGAGTAATTTCTGCCCAAGGATAGGACTTACAAGGTCAACAGCCTTATGAAACTAACCAAAGGCACAAATATCATGGATCAGAGTTTCTCAACTTTGGCACTAGTAACATTTGGGGCTGGAGAACTCTTTGCCGGGGGGCTGTCCTGTGCATTCTAGGAGGTTTAGCAGCATCCTGGCTTCTATCCACTAGATGCCAGTGGCACCCTCCCCCCCCCAATTGTGACAATCAAATCCGTCTCCAGACACTATGGAATGTCCTTGGGGGCAGAACTGTCCTCCTTGAGAACTACCGCTATAGATCATGTTAGCAGAGGGGAGGCCCTAGATTCACCCTGATACTGACAGACCGTTAGTGAAATAAAGGTCTGCAGACCAAGGTGCGTTCCCAGGCTTTTAAAACTAATAGGAGCAGTTACCCTGGACCACGCTGAGGGCAAGACCAGATGTGGACCTATTTCAGGGGAAGGTGCTCATATTACTTGGTTTGAATCAAACAAAGCAAAGGATCATTCTGGTCATCCCAAATGTCAGCAGGCTCTAGTAGTCCAGATGGAATACTGACCTATGGTTTCCTCATTAATGGAACTGAGAGCTCAGCTACCGTCTTGTCTGACAGGGATGGATCCAGCACAGAGAGACCAAGGTAGACAGACATGAGGGGCCCTTGAGACTTCTGTAGTTAGAAAGCTTGGTCAGGGGTGGGCATGACATCATTCTGCCTGTCTTTAAGGCCGGGTGTCTCAACCTCAGCACCACTGCCATTTTTTGGCTGGATAATTCTTTGTTGTGAAGGACTGTCCTGTGCGTGGTAGGATGTGTATAGCAGCATCTCTGGCCTCCGCCCACCCATCAGAAGTGTCTCTAGACACTGCCAAATGTCCCTGGGGTGGGTGGTCGGAGCACAAAACTACCCCTGGTTGAGAACCACCACTGCTTTAGGAACTGGCAATTTTATGATACAGAGTACTGGGTTTAGAGCTGGAAGCCACAGACCGGGACCTGAAATGCGCAGGTACTGCTTTGTTTCATAAACTAGCCAATCAATGTAGAGTCCCACCCAACTTACCAGATGCCTTCCAGTTGTTTCCCTGTGGAGAAAAGAAGAGATTTAGCCACTTGGGATCAGACTAAATGGCCTCCCAGCCTGAGCAAATTCAGAACATCACTCAAACCCAGAGTAACCCGGGGTTGCCTGTGTGGCACAATCGGTCAGGTGTCCGACTCTTGGTTTCAGCTCAGGTCATGATCTCAGGGTCGTGGGACTGAGCTCCGTGCTGAGCGCAGGGTCTGCTTAAGACTCTCTCTCCCTTGAGGCAAAAAAAAAAAAAAAAGACTCTCTCTCCCTCTCCCTCTGCCCACCGCACCCCCCCCCCCGAAATAATCTTAAAAGAAAAGAAAAGAAAAGAAAAACCCGGAGTAACCCATTATAAACCTTTTGGGGGACTCTCTAGGAACACAGTTCTCCTCCAATAAGGTCCTTAGGTCCTAATACAGGTATGTTGTGTTAAGTAGGTTAAAAAGTGATTAGCATCCTTCATCAGAATGCAAGACAAAAAACACTGGTATAGATGTACCCCAATTTTGTGTCTGCTTTTCTTTCCCCTTCAGGGTCAATTCAACTTTGCCTTTTTCTTTGTCTCATATATAGAGACAACAGAACAATGGTATAAAAAAAGCTATTATCCGGGGCGCCTGGGTGGCTCAGTTGTTAAGCGGCTGCCTTCGGCTCAGGTCATGATCCCAGGGTCCTGGGATCGAGCCCCGCATCGGGCTCCCTGCTCGGTGGGAGGCCTGCTTCTCCCTCTCCCTCTGTCTGCTGCTCTGCCTACTTGTGCTCTCTCTCTCTCTGTGTTAAACAAATAAATAAAAAAAAATCTTAAAAAAGAAAAAGCTATTATCCACTTCTTCATTGAGCATATGTGAGGTGAAATCCTTCAGGAAATGACTGGGCAAAACTTGACAAATTCCATCCATCTAAATAGTCAATGCAAATGTATTCTGTATCTCCATATGGCAGAAATGATGTTAGGTATGGAAATGAAAATATGAACAGATCACTGTCCTGCCTTTAAGGAGCCCAAAGTCAAATGGAAAGAGAGACACACACACAACTAAGTAAAAAATACAATGTTGATAGGCTCTAATTATAGAGTGGTATAATTACAGAGTGGTAAAAATGAGATGCTATATATAGGGGAACCTGGGTGGCTCAGTCGTTAAGCGTCTGCCTTCAGCTCAGGTCATGATCCCAGGGTCCTGGGATGGAGCCCCGCATCGGGCTCCCTGCTCAGCAGGAAGCCTGCTTCTCCCTCTCCCACTCCCCCTGCTTGTGTTCCCTCTCTCGCTGTGTCTCTCTCTGTCAAATAAAATCTTAAAAAAAAAAAATGAAATGCTATATATAATAAAGATAAGGAACTACCTTTATAAGCTGCAATTCAACTGGGGAATGAGTAGGGGCAGGAATGGACATTTCTGCGGGGGTGAATATGTACAAATGCACAGTTGCGATAAAGACAGGTTAGAGAAAAGAGTGCAGTGACGGTGATAGGAGGGAAAGTGGCCAGCAGGGGCGCCAGCAAAATGGGGTAAGCCCAGACAGAAGGCTGCCCTGCACCACGCTGCATTCATGGTTGTTAGGCAGTGGAGTGCCTTGATCAGATCCATGTTTTTAAAAAGACACCTATGGGGGCGCCTGGGTGGCTCAGCCAGTTAAGCATCTGCCTTCAGCTCAGGTCATGATCTCAGGGTCCTGGGATCAAGCCCCGCATTGGGTTCCCTGCTCAGTGGGAAGCCTGCTTCTCCCTCTCCCTGCCGCTCCCCCTGCTTGTACTCTCTGTCTATTAAAAAAAATAAAAATAAATAAAAAATAAAAGACACCTATGTCTTTTAAGAGAACTGTAGGGGCGCCTGGGTGGCTCATTGGTTAAGTGTCCAACTCTTGATTTCGGCTCAGGAACATGATCTCAGGGTCATGAGATTGAGCCCTGCATTGGCTCCGTGCTCAGCGGAGAGTCTCCTTAAGATTCTCTCTTTCCCTCTACCCTTCCTCCCCTCTTAAAAAAATAAAATAAAATAAGGCATCACAGTGTGTGGTACCCAGAAGTTTAATAAATAGAGACTACATTAGGTATAATGGCCTTGGGGAAAAGGGTAAAGACCTCCAAAAGATAAATTTTACCTCAGGATTGGTGGTAAGATCTACGAAGAGATTTCAGTATGTAAGGAATTAATATGAAATACTATGTCTATTTGACATATAAACATTTCATTTCCTGTTAGTGTTGCCAGGCTAAATGAAATAACAAGGAAAATAAAATGTAGCAGAGTTCTATCTCTCCTCCAGTTAGGAGACCAGTGTGCTTTTCACTAAAACACCTGCTACTTTGGCCCACAAGGCCCAAATGGACAGAGTGATTCTGGACTGGGGTTTCTGAGGTAGTCCCCTAAAGACTGTGGGGCAGGCTCTGCCCTTGTCCAAACTGAGCTGAAATCTCACAGAGGTGGATGAGAAACAGACTGGATGCTGAAGGGCAGTGGTAACCCATTTAGGACAAGCATCTTCAAATGTGGATTGAGCAGACTTACATCCTTTCTTAATTTGAACTGCTTCACAGTTATCCTTATTCTCACAACATCCTTATGTGGTAGAGCAGGGCAAATATTTATTAACATCATTTTACAAATAGGTAAATAAAGATGCATGGTTTGCCAGGCATAAAAGCAAGAAGGAAAAACACGGTATGACAACGTACTTGTTGGAGCAGCTCAGGTAGAAATACTGCTCAGCAGCCTGTTCTTGGGAGGAAAAGAACAAGGGCCATGGTCTCCTCCATTGGGTGACAGGCATTGGAAAGTGGAACTAAATTGATTTTTAAATTTTTTGGCCACACTGGGGTGGGAGTAGGTGAGTAGGAGGTGGTGATTTGAGATTGAATTAGGTCACAAGACCATTTTGGAACATGAATTAGGCTCAGTGGATATTAGCACACTACAGAAGCAGATTATTTTCCCACTAGGATTTCCTCAGCAGGTCAGAGAGTGGGTGGGTCAGATGCCTGCGTGTCTCCAAGCTTGTTGGCACATCCAGTGCATTGATTTCGAGGCCTATGAAGTATGTGCAAGAAAACAAATGGAAGACATGGATATCAGTCCTGTTTTCGTCAAGAGTAACAAAGAATGCAGAGTGAGGTCTGCATTAGTCAGCATTCCACTGATTGTAAAGTTAAGTTAGTATATAAAACCCAAGGAGAAAATACTCCATCCACCTCCTTATCAGTTAAAATGGATGGAGAGCACATAGACATACATGCTGGTTGTAGGACATGCTCAAGATCAGCACCTGGAATACTGCTGGTGTTCTACAAAGGTCTATTTGGTGATGGGCAGCACGGGCTCTGTGCGAGCAGCATTAGGTCACTGGTACAAATCAAGTGCAGCTCCAGCTCACCTCCCAAATTTCTCTAATGATAGTGTTTTTATTTATTTTATTTTAATTCCAGTATAGTTAACATACAGTGTTATTGATAGTATATTTATTTATTTTTAAGATTTTATTTTTAAGGAATCTCTACACCGAATGTGGGGCTTGAGCTCACAACCCTGAGATTGAACCACATGCTCCTCTGACTGAGCCAGCCAGGCGCCCCTAACTGGCAATGTTTTAATCTGCTGGTTGGCTCAGCATCTGCCAGGTTACCAGCAATGTGAAGGGGTTAATGTTAACTTACAAAATCAGCTTGCTCTTCTCTGGGGCCACTGGATAAATATTGAATGTAGGTGGGAAAAAGGTAAAAGGAAACATCTGCATAACATAAGTGGGCCTCTGTGCCAATATTGTAAAGAAAAAAAAAAAAGCCTATTGGCAGGAGGACTTTCCCTTCCTTTAGGCAGAGAAAAGTTATCACAAAATCAAATGCAGTACATTGTTAAAAACTGAGAGGGTATTTTGATCTTCAAAAAAAGTAGGTTTAAAACTACTTGATATTCTAATGCTAGGATTTGTTGGAGCCAGTACAGGATTCTTTCCTCATATAAAATAACTGACGTAGGAGTTCTTTTCCTCAGTACTGAGAGGGTTCCCTTTTCTTTCTTTTTTTTTTAGAGATTTTATTTATTTTTCAACAGAGAGAGAGACAGCGAGAGAGGGAACACAAGCAGGGGGAGTGGGAGAGGGAGAAGGAGGCTTCCCATTGAGCAGGGAGCCCGATGTGGGGCTCGATCCCAGAACCCTGGGATCATGACCTGAACTGAAGGCAGACGCTTAACGACTGAGCCACCCAGGCGCCCGAGGGTTCCCTTTTCATCACTGCTTGTTTTCATTAGTCAGGCCTTGTAGCAATGCTTTGAAGTAGGTCTGCAACATTCCACCATTCAGCCAGGCTATATTTACTGAACACCAATCACTGTGCTAGACTCTGGATAAATCTAGAGTTCTTGTCCCTAGTGGAGCTTCCAGTCCAGTTCTGGGTGTGTGTGCACACTGATGAGAAAAATAAGCAATTACAGGGGTGCCTGGGTGGATCAGTTGGTTAAGTGTCTTTTTTTTTTTTTTAAAGATTTTACTTATTTATTCGACAGAGAGAGAGCGAGAGCGCACGCACAACCACAAACAGGGTGAGTGGCAGGCAGAGGGAGAGGGACAAGCAGGCTCCCTGCTGAGCAGGGAGCCCAATGGGGCTTGATCCCAGGACCCTGGGATCATGACCTGAGCAGAAGGCAGATGCTTAACCAACTGAGTCACCCAGGTGTCTCAGTGTCTGACTCGATTTCAGCTCACTTCATGATCTCAGGGTCATGAGATTGAACTCCACATTGGGCTTTGCGCGGAGCATGGAGCCTGCCTAAGATTCTCTTTCTCCTTCTCTTCCTCTGCCATCCTGCCCTGCTTGTGGGTGCTCGCTCTCTAATAAAGAAAACAAGCAATTATAAAATAGAATGATGAATGCTATGTACAGGATGTTATGAGCATACACTAGGGACACATGAACAAGATTTGTGGGGTGGGGGTCAGGGAAGGCTTCCTGGAGGAAGAGACATGTTAGTTGAAACCCTGAGGATGAGCAGAAGTTAGCCAGGCCAAGCGAAAGTATTCTGGGCAGATGGCATAGCCTTTGAAAAGCCAAGAGGTGAAAAAGCTGAACAGGTTCAGTCCTATTAGTGTATCTAGCCCTTTTCCACTGGGGTTCTGCCAGAGCATTAAGCCCTCATGCCCTAAGGTATCTATTGGCAGAACTGAGAAAATAGTCATTCAGATCATTTCCCCTAGAGCTTAACTCTTGTGGAATCCAGTGGAGAAAGGCTCCTGCTGATTGTGTTGAGCATGTGTATAGACAGGTGAGGGTGGAGAGAAAAGCAGAAGGATCACAAAGGGCCTTGTAAGCTGCATTAGTTTTCATTTTGCCATAATGAAATTGCATGATTACTAAATTAATTCATTAGATGGATAAAAAGTAGTTCACACAATGAGCAATAAAAATCTAAATAGATGGCATTAAAATCTAATAGATGGCATTAAAAATCTAATAGATGGGCATTAAAACTTTAAAACCCCTTCAGATTCAAATAAATTCTATGTAATCTTCAAGCTTGAGTTCAAGTCTCAATTGTTCCTATAATCGATACTTATTGTGGGGCACCTGGCTGGCTCAGTCAGTACAGCATGCAACTCTTAATCTCGGGGTCGTGAGTTCAAGCGCCACATTGGGCGTAGAACTTACTTTAAAAAAAAATTATTGAGCACCAGCTCTCACTGGCCACTGGGGACATACAGAGAAATGAGACAGAGTCTCTGCCCTCCAGCAGCTCAAGGTTCTCACTGAAGTCTTTCTGACACATGCAGCCCACCATGGCTTTTCCCTTCTTTCAAGACCTAAAATAATTGCTTCACCACTTGCTCATTCTGGCATCTGGTTATAATCTCTTTTATGCTGTTCTCTAATGTTGCATGTGCACGTATGTTATTTTTAGTGAAATAAACCCCTGGAGGACAGAGTTCATGGTTTTGTTTTTTTTTTTAAGATTTTTTATTTATTCATTTGAGAGACAGAGAGAGAGGGAGAGAGTGCACATGGACAAGTGAGAGCACGAGCAGGGGGGAAGGTCAGAGGGAGGGAGAAGCAGACTCCCCGTTGAGCAGGGAGCCCTACGACAGGGCTCCATCCCAGGACCCCAGGATTATGACCTGAGCTAAAGGCAGATGCTTAACCGACTGAGTTCATGTTTTTTATTTCATTACTATTTGTATTACAGAATTAAGCAAGGAACTGAGTATAAAGTAAAATCTCAAATATTCATTAGACTGCATTCTTCCCAGAAATAAATATCTATGTTCTATATCCTTATGTCTTTAAACCCAAGAACAATTTTGAGATAGGCTTGTGAAAAAAATAAAAAATAAATGTAACCCTGGGATACGTGCATGCACACAAAACTTTAGATTAGAAAACAATCAATAAGGGGCGCCTGGGTGGCTCCTTCGGCTCAGATTATGATCCCAGGGTCCTGGGATCGAGCCCCGCATCAGGCTCCCTGCTCCGTGGAAAGCCTGCTTCTCCCTCCCCCACTGTCCCCTGCTTGTGTTCCCTCTCTCGCTGTCTCTCTCTGTGTCAAATAAATAAATAAATAAAATCTTAAAAAAAAAAAGAAAAATGTGGCCATGATTTAAAAAATAAATAAATAAATAAAGTTAGGCTTCTCTTGTCACTTTTGATCTCAACACCCTGTTTGCTTCTTGCACAGCCTAACACTTATCACAATTAGTATTTGAAATAATTATTTTCTTTGCTTATATTTAATATTTTCCCCAGTTAGCAGCTCCATGATGGCAATGAACATCTTTGTTCAATATACTGTCCTCAGTTAAGCTTAACACATGGACTAACACATAGGAGGCACTCAAAAAACAATCTGTTGAATGAATCATGAAGCAGTGATCCTTAAGGACACTTATAGCTATGATCAAACTAACCAAATAATGGCTCCATTCTAAGAAGTTTAGTTAGAACTTGACTGATGTAATCTGTTAGTGATTAGCACGTTCCCCTGTGACTTTGTAAGTTTTGCTTTCAGCTTTACCTTACTCATTTTAACAACTGGTGATCTAGGCCCAAACTTCTAGCCAACAATGGACTGGCTACATAACAATTACCTGAAGAGCTTATTAAAAATACAGATTTTGGGATCAAAACTCCAGAAGATTCTTATTTAGTACCTGTGTAATGAGGCTCTAGAATCCATATATTTAAAACTTTGTTTATTTTGAATAGATACTATATGTGTGTAGTACACAATTCAAAAGATACAGAAAGTTTATAGAGAAGTCTCCCTTCTATTCCTGTCCTCTGGCATCAAGTTCCCCTTTCCATGTTACCACTGTTTCAATTCCTTATGTAGTCTTCCAGATAATTATTTGCCTACACGAGCATGTATAAATCCTTTGCTTTAAACACACCTGAATATTTAAAGAACTGTTCCAACTTTGTTTTCTCTATTTCCATTGAAAAAGACTTGTTCAAAGTGAAGTTATCTGTATTTTTAACAAGCATCCCAGGTGATTCTGATGTGAAGCCAAATATGAGTAACCATTCACTGGCCCAGGGTTAAAATGCAACTCATTATGATATATCAGAAACTCAAGGACATTGAAAAGATGCCTTCCAAAGTAGCCTTGCTTACTTGACTTCAGCCCTCTTGTCTTACCAAGATGAACTAAAACACTCTCTAATGCGTCCATAAAAGCCAGGAAAAACTAGCCATTCAAATGGATGTTGCCAAAGCTGTTCAATTTTTCAATTCCTGGAATCCTTTCCTGCCCAATATCAACTGAAACCACAAACTCGACAATTTCTATGTTACATGAGACATTTTGGTATTTGGGTTATAATGAGGTTTGATGTACAGCGAACTAGGGCTGATTTTCTCTCCTGGTAGATTAAGTAGTTTAATGGAGCACAACGGAAATACTTCCTTTACTAATCCTTACTGACACAACAGTATCCAACCCTCTCCCAGAATTGCTTTCTAACCATCTGGGCAAAAGCAATTAACTTAGAAACTGTTGACAAGACCGCATTGTCAGGGCAGAACTTGAATTCTCGAGTTCGGGCTCCAGTAGACCTGACTTTACCTCTACCTGGGAGCAATGGCTGGGAACCCGTGCGGCTCTAGCTTCCTATTCCCATCTACCCCAGAGACTGCAGTTTCCTTTTGGCACGGAGGGAAGGCTAAGGGCCACCTGGGGATCTCTGCAGAGTCCCTTTCACCACGAGGGGCATCGCGCTGCAGGCATCCTCAACCTCCCCTACACTGCGCCGAGGAAGAGGTGTAAAGGGCTCCCCAAGTGAGGCAGGGGAGCCGCCGGGCTGCAGCGCCCGCTCACCCTACGGCTCGGAGGGGGCAGGGGGAGGGCGTGACTCCTCCATCCCTTCCTCCTGGATTCAAACGTGAAGTCGGGAAAGTGGGGCTCCAGGCGCCCGAACCTCAGACCTTTCTCTTCTACGCTCGCGCTTTCCTCCATCCTCTGGGCCCCGCGTCTCCCCCTAAGCGGTGGTCCAGGCCTCCCTACCTCTGCCGGCCGGCCCGGCACCCTCTCGCCCGCCCCCAGCCCCCTCACCCAGCATGATGGGGCTGAGCCGCCGGGCCAGGCCCTTGGACAGGTCGTACACGTAGAGCTTCACCGGATAGAGATTCGGCGGCTCCATCGGGACCCGTGGCGGCGGCTGCCACGAAGTCCCTCAGGCACCCGGCAGCGGCTTGGACCTTCCCGTACCCGACGGGGGTGGGGAACGGAGGGAGCGGGGGGACCGAGCCCAGGCCCGGCCTGAGGGGCGGGGGAAAGGCGGCCCTGAGCTGCACGCGGCTCCGCACCCGCCACCGGCAACGACTACTGTGAGGTGACAGAGCCGGGACGGGTAGGGTCCGCGCGGAAGAGGGGGCGGGGGCGAGGACGCACTCTTGCGCATGTGCCTATCGTCCCGGCGGGGGGCGAGGGGCGGGGTTTCGCGGTAGGGGGCGGGGCTTTCGCGGACGGGGTCGGCTTAGTTCGGGACAGTTGCGGAAAGCGGGGGTGGAAGTGGGCGTGTCAACTTGAGGAGGAATGTGCGCACTATGCGTGATGACGTAAGGGACGTTGATTGGGAGCGAGAATTGGAGCCCGTGCGTGCGCGGCGCCCCGCCTTCTGTCCAAATTGATCTCTTCCTTGTGCTTAAGGTAGGGAGGTTGGGGCTGTTCGCTGTGTCACTTGCTTTCCGGCCGGGGCTGGCCTCGAGCTGCTTCGTTCACTTAGTCTTGCGCGTCCCTCTAGCCTCCCCGCGGGGCAGAGTCAGCACGAAGTGTGCAGACCCGCGGGGTACAGAGTTTCTGGTCCCCGTCCCCTCCGTGGGAGGTGGCACCTGGCCTTGAGGCCCGCCTGCAATGAGACCCCTCGCTGGGCGTGGCTGGCGAGGAGTTGGGGGAGATTTGGGGGCGGGATGAGGTCCGCTAGAGGATCGAGTACTCTGGAGCAGGAATCCCGTAGGTTCAGATGGTGCGGGAGGCCAGACGGGACCTCCAGGTTGGGCTGCCCCAGCACCCGAGTCAGAGGGCCACCACCAGCCCTGAAGCGGCTCTTAAGGGATAGACGAGGTGAGGCTGCTGCTGGAATGATGCCCATGACCATATACTAATGCATCTCAATTACTGAGAGCTCTGGAGGCAGCAGGATCCAGCATCCACATTCCTCATCAGTAACCTCGAGACTTTAGGGCGGATCTCAAAGGAGCCTAAGAGTCGATATTTTTTAGGTTTAAATTTGCTTCTTCCTGATCATAACTTTCTTTCACCTGGTGAGCAGTAAACAATATGTCAGGTTGGGAGTCTTATTACAAAAACGAGGGCGATGAAGCAGAAGAACAAGAAGAGGGCCTTGAAGCAGGTGGTAAGTGTCTTTAATGTGCACTATTTAAACTTTAAAGTGCACTATTCTGTGTGTAAGAAAGACTTTCCCGACTGTCTCTGCTGTGTAATGGCCTACCCTTCTCTCCCTAGAGAATCTCAAATGCTTTTATCCCTTTGAACTTTGCAGAGCTACCCAAGGCTCTTTTATTCAGGTCCTACTCTAGTCTATGGGACATTCCTAGTCTTAAACTTTCACTGTTACTGGTAGCTTGACATCTGTTGAGCTCCAGTAAATGACCCTGAACATTGGTATCCTTTGTCACCTTAGGTGGCTCAGGTAAGACCCTTCCTCACCCAGGAGGGTTGTTTTAACTCATTGTGGGACCTCAGTATAAAAATGCCTTCACCCTACAGAAACTGTAGCAACCAAAGCGAAAACATGAGGAGCACAGTTACAAGACTCATTCTATCACCATGGAGGCGGGGGCAGGGACGCACTCTCAATGTTTGGAGTGTTATGTTCAGGCAAGGTAGTAACACAATAAAGGAAGAGAAATAAGGGGTACATGTAATCTACATACTGGTGAATGTAAGTCCTGGGTAAGAAAATTTTAAAGTGTTTTTACTAAAAGTGAGAAACAGGAAATATATAACATAAAAAAAGAGAAAATTTACTGTGATCTATATAATCTACCATCCTAACGCTACCTGCCAGCATTTTGCATATTTCCTTCATCGAAGGAAATTTCCTTCATCTTTCATTCTGATATTTCTTAACTATGTATGTCTGTTTTTCTTTGTATCTGATTTTTTATAGTTAATCATAGTGAATATATATTTTTTCATTTTAATTTGCACCAGTCTTCTTCCAAAAAGAATTTTAAACATATATACATAATTTTGTGTTCTGCCTTTTTTCCTTAATGTGTTATAGATATATTTTCCCATGTAACTACATATATGTTGTCTTTATAACTCATTTTAAAGGTACCGTAATTTATTCAGTCTGCCTCCCATTGGACATTTTAGTTATTTTCAATTTCTTACTTTAATGAACAACATTGTGGAAAATTTTGTATAAGGAGTTTCCCATATCTTATGTTGTTTAGATTGCTAAAGAATTCACTGAATTCACTGGGATGCTAAAGAATTCACTGGGTCAAGGGGCGCCTGGGTGGCTCAGCCAGTTAAGCGGCTGCCTTCGGCTCAGGTCATGATCCCAGGGTCCTGGGATCGAGCCCCGCATCGGGCTCCCTGCTTGGTGGGAAGCCCCCTTCTCCCTCTGCCTGCCATTTCCCCTGCTTGTGCTCTCTCTCTCTCTGTCAAATAAATAAATAAAATATTAAAAAAAAAATTCACTGGGTCAAGATAGAATTTTTTATTAGGACTCTTGACCCATAATTGACATATTGTTTTACAGATGGGTAATTACATTTATTGTATTAGAAAGCAGCAGTGTGAAAAAAGGAGACAACCAGACATTTTATGTGTTTCTTTTTTATTTTTTTTAAGATTTTACTTATTTGACAGCGAGAGACACAGCAAGAGAGGGAACACAAGCAGGG